TACAAACAAAATGCTGGGGAGATGAAAGTTGGTACAAACAAAATGCTGGGGAGATGAAAGTTGGTACAAACAAAATGCTGGGGAGATGAAAGTTGGTACAAATTGCAGGGAAAATGAAAGATCATGGTATAAATTGCTGGGACGATGAAAGTTGAAAATGCTGGAAAGGTGAAAACAGTTGGTACAAAATGCTAGGGAGATGAAAGTTCATACAAAATGCTAGGGAGATAACGTTGATACAAAATGCTGGGGAGATGAAAGTTGATACAAAATGTTGAGTAGATTAAAGTTGATACAAAATGCTGGGAAGAAGAAAATTGTTAAACTCTAAAGGAGATGAAAGATAGCAAAAAATTAAAAAAAAAACAAAATAATAAATTACGAAGCATTGGGATTGGAAAACTATGAAAAAGAAATGTTGAAATTTACAGAAAATGTGTCTCTGTGATTTGTTTGTCAATAATTGTTAGTTGTACACATCTGAATATTCATGGAATTCTGTGAGAAAGGAAGTTTTGTAATTCTAAAGATTTTATAATTATCTCTCTCTGAAACCTTCCACATGTGCAGGTAATCAGGAGAATGTTTTATAAATCTGGGTTTTATTTTAACTTGCAAACCACCAGCATTCAAAATGCTGTTAAAATTTGCCAGTCCTAATTACACACAGATGTTTACACTGAATGTAGAACATTGCTATTTCCACAAACATTCAGCTGACTAGGAAGTGCTTGGATTTTTTTGGGCTTTTGAAATTAAGCAGAAGTATATTCTGGGAAAATTTAAATGTGATTTGAAATTAAAAAAAAATAATTCACTTTCTTTGCCTGTGGATTTATCATAGAACATGTTTGAAGGTTGATTTTACGATTTATTAAATTCAGGGAAGTTTCATTTTTGGAAATCGTCATTCTTTGAGAAACTACATTGTATTTATAGTTGGAATTATTTTAAAAGACAACTGAGAGAAAAACAAATTGACTGCTGCAGTTGTCAGTCAAACTTGTTCCTAAAAAAGTTCTGAAGAAGAAAAATAAAGCATATTTTTCCAAACTTGGATTTAACAAAAAATTCAAAGTGGCGTCACATCGAGATATATATCGCAGGATGTTCTATTCTTATCCTGTTTATCCTCCGATCGGGATGTATCTTCCGACAAAAATATCGGGAGTAAGTATAATATACTTGTTCTTATACCACTGGTACATGTATTTGTACTTGTACACTTTAATTCACCACCTTGAAGTCAGAGTGGTAAAGGTTTCAACAGGGATACAGTTAATGTCCTTTTTTCTTACAAAATGAAGTAGGGGCAATAAGGGTCTTATTTGGTCCAAACTTTAGCGCGAATTCAAAATATGTGATCTAAAAGTCTTTCAATACTATGGTAAAAGGTTTCTGGTGTTAAGAAAATAAAAACAAATTTACATAAATTTTACAAATTACCATTTCAACAAACCTTTGTGAAAGTTGTATATTTTGTTAAATAGCCTTGATTTTCTATTGAAGTATATTTTAGATTGGAAAAATATTTGCTCTAAGAAGAAACAACTTCATATTTGGTTAGATGACGGTAATAGCTATAAAAAAAGCTTCTCTAAAATTATTTTGTATTTTCGTGGCTGCGCACTATATTTTTTCAAAAGAATGTATGGGTGGAAAAAGAGCTTTTTCTTTATTTTCATAAAAAGGCGGTGCATACAATCAGGTAATTGTGACGTCATTACCTCAAAAAAAAGTGTGTTATTTGTTTATATTCTATGATCTTATACATATCCATGCATTATATGCAAATTTGAAATGGGTCTTTTATAGTTCTATTTTTTTGGGGGGACCAACAGGCCTTCATGTAGTAGGTATGAATTCTTCTATTTGTATCTACATAATAAACCACAAAATAATTGACGAATTCTTTTCATACATGGTTTTTTTTAAGCTATAAATTTCTGCATAAAACAGGATTTCAAACTTGAAAAAAAAGTAATAACATGAAAATTTTCTATTTACTGTACAATTCAAAAATTATTGTTTGCATTTATTAATGCGATTGTTCAAACAACTTCAAACTGAAAGTAGAGTAATTATTACTATTTCAGGAAATTCTGTATTATTGTGATTGTTCAATAAACTTCAAACTGAAAGTTAAGTAATTATTACTATTTCAGGAAATTCTGTATATGAATTATGCTATCAAAATCAACAATGCAAGTTTTAATTTTTTGCAACATCAATCTAGTCCAATTTCCACAATAATATTAATAATTATTGAATTTCTGAATTTACATAATATTATGATTTATATAAATCATACCTTGAATCTATCCCCTGTCTACAAATGTTACATTAATTTCATAAACTACTTTATAATAAGAATTTCCTACAAAGAATATTAAATATAAACTTAGTATTAAAAAAAATGGAAATAAATAGATGGAAATTCAATTTTTATGTAAAATGTGATTAAAAAATATAGTGTACATGATACCCTAAATTTATAATTTTTTGTAATGTTATTTTTTTCTAATTTGAAATAATATTTAAAAATTAGTTCAAATTTGAAATCTCATAAATTAATGTCACTTTTTTTCTCCGTTATCAACAATGTCAACAACAAATACATGGAAAATTTACAATATTTTTTTCACAAAATTTGAGGTTGAATTCTAGTGAGCAGGGGAGAATTGTTAAGGGTGGTCAGGTGAAAATAACTAAATCCACCTTCTTTGTAAATGCATGAAATATTTACCACTGGACATTAACCAAGCAACAATAAACCAATCTAAATCTACCATTGCTGTGATATATTAAAGTAATAGCAGAAAAAACAAATTTACAGGATTAAGTATTAAAAACCTTTATCGGAGAAAAACAAAATTATGTTGAAATAAATAAAAGATAAAATAATGCTTTGAAATAGGAGTGTGGAAAATTTCATTATGATTTATGTGAATAAACATTACAAAAATAAAAACTGAATTAATTTTGCCCAAATTTTATCAAATGTATTATGCATTCGAAAAGCTTGTAATATATTACACCTGTGAAAATTGGAAAATTATGGGATGTTTTTATCACAAACGCCATAAATTACGAAATTTAGATGAAAAATTGTGAAATTAAACAGTTATAAGACATCTGCTAGTTATTAAACCAAATTGAAAAATGAAATGATGGAAAATAAAAATTTTTGTCAGTCTGTGTTTTGATACGATATGGAATATATTGTAAAATATTGTATTATCATATTTATCCCAGCTAGGATTTACGATAAAAACACTGTTAAAATGATACAGCACCTGTGTTTATCTGTAGCAATAGATACTGTTCATAGACAGGTGTATTTTGCAGTACTGACATGATGTGAAACACACGTACAGGTGTAAAAAACCACAGAAGGGATAAATTATCCAATTCAGAATTCTCACGACAGGTGTGAAGGAACACGAAACATACCAACATGTACTACGAACGTCTTTAGCATTGTTATTTAATATTGTTTACATATTGCTGCCACTTTAATGTAATGACTTTATTTTTCGGAAATATTTTTTATTTTATTTATTTATTTGTCTGTATAAAGTTTTGGTTGAAAGAATAAGATTTATTTGTATTTAGTATATTGTAATTCCAAAGCAGGGATTTGGTCAGATAAACTACTCATTTTGGGGAGAAAATTTTGTACAAGATGGGCTTGGCTAGAAAATCTAAGGAATCTACTTGGCATTTATTATATTGAGGTAATGATTCTGAATAGTGTCTTGATAAAGTTGAATTTTGTCATAATTAATTATAAAAACAAATTCATTTCATGATAAGATGTTGTCACAATTAGCCTTATTGAAATGAATTAGTTGTTGACATATATTGCTTCAACTGTTTCTTAAAGATAACTGATGATTTATAAACATTTCAGTATATATATTACAATCAAGTTAGAAGTTTTGTGAAAAGAGGGTTAGGGCCTTGACTCATAGTAATGTCTTTGTAAATGGTTAGAGAATTCCTACATTTGTATTCCCAAAGGGGATTTTTTGGTTGATGAAAAAATTGTTATTGTTCTAAACCTTCCTATTTTATCATTTTAAGGCAAAGAGTGGATTTGAATATTTAGTTACAAAGTTGAGCTTATGTTGCTTTTTAATCAGTTGTCCATTGTGCAAAACTTTTTTCTGTTCCGATTTTTATCAAATTTGAATATTTTGTGTAAAAATGAGCTAAATACCTTATGAGCATTTTTTTCATAAATTGTTTGCGTTAAAACTTCTAATACATCACAGGCATTCATTATTGGCATAGTTCAGACATATGCATTAATCTACAAATAACATATTTATTGTTTAATGATGTGCAGTATAATTCCACATTGCATAGAAAATTTGAAGAATGCACAAGCCGATTTTTAGTTCTTCTTACTGAAGCATTAGTCTTAGTCTATTGTGCAATCATTTTTGCCTAAATTTTGTTTTTAACACTTAGAAAAACACCATGATGACATATTTTGCGGGAAATAAGTAATAATTGTAACGGTGCCTAGTGTGTGTGATTTCCTGTTACCTTTGATATTTTGCACCTTCAGCGTACATATTTAACTCGGATGAATTGTCAAGAGTTGTGTAGAAAATTTGGAAGAATGTACATACATTTTTCGTTTATCTGATTTTGAGTTCTTCTTTAATTGCAGTCTTGCTTAAGTGCAATCCTTTATGCCTTAACTTTGTTGTTAAGTTTGATTATAGCACCATGAAGAAATATTTTGTGGGAAACAAGTAATTGTTGTAATAGTGTCTGTTATTTCCTGTTCGCTGTTGACATTTTTGCACCTTCAGCGATCTTTACATATTTTACTCCAATGCATTGTCAGATTTAATTTAGTTGAGGCACTTGGCTCCAGCATAGTCTTAACCTCTTTATGATTTACTATGATTCATAGTTTTTTTCTCATATACAAATATCTCTGTATGAATTATAAAGTTATATTTTATGGTTTTTTTTAATTTCAGGTTTATCCGCCAGCCCCCAGTCCAGAAGACTACCAAGATTCCCCCAACAGATACACTTCCCCAAAACCCCTATATGGGGATGGGGGGTATTATATGGGTAAGTAGTGAAAAAAAGCAAAATAACAAAAATACTGAACTCCAAGGAAAATTCAAATCGAAAAGTCCCTTATCAAATGGCAAAATCAAAAGCTCAAACACATTAAACTAATGGAAAACAACTGTCATGTTCCTGACTTGGTACAGGCATTTTCTAATGTAAAAAATGGTGGATTAAACCTGGTTTTATAGCTAGCTAAACCTCTCACTTTTACGACAGTCACATAAAATTCCATTATATGGACAACAATGTGTGAACAAAACAAACAGACATAATAGGTAAAAAATGTCAAAAAAAGGGGTACAGCAGTCAACATTGTGTTATAATCTTAATCACTATATAAACAAACAAATGTGTCAACAAAGAAAAACACTCATACTAGAAAATAATTCTGTTATAACTGTGTGCTTAGATATAAGCAAATAAATGGATTGAATAGGACAACAGAGTTCTAGTAATCTTATTTTCTATGGTGGTCTGTGAAGAAAATCTGCTGGTCCTCACTATTGTTTCTATTGCAAAATACCAAAATTGTTTAGGTCCTTTTAAAAATTTTGGTGATCAAGACATTCGTACCTCCACGTTTCATGAACTCTAGGACTATTTATGAAGAAATCATGATATTTTTGGCCAGATAGATAAGGAATTTTGAAATATTTATTTTTGTTCATCATTGCCCTGCAATTTCTACTGTACTTTCTGTAAAGACCTTTTTAAAACCCTTTTTTTTTTATCTCGCTATATTCCGTTAAAGTATAAGGGAGCAATGAATTATGCTACCTAAAGCGCTTATAAACCCAAAACTTGTCTGCCATTGTTGAGTGCTATGAAGCAAAGTGGATTTTTTTCTTTCCATAGTTAAAATGTTGTTTTTATTGTAGATCCATCGACTCCTCACAGTCAACCGGATCCTTGGTCATCGAATAATGTTCCTCCCACATCAACATATCCTTCATCCATGTTGCCTGGCAACAGTCATCAGTACAACTCAAACATGCATCATGAAATGGTAAGTCTGAAGACATAGGTACAGTCATATTTAAGTTTGAAGCCATAGGTAGTCATATTTAAGTCTGAAGCCATAGGAAGTCATATTTAAGTCAGAAGACATAGGTACAGTCATATTTAAGTGGGAAGCACTAGATACAGTCAAATTTAAGTCTGAATCCACGTGACAGTCATATTTAAGACTGAAGCTGTAGGTTCAGTCATATTTATATCAACAGTCGTACTCAAACATGCATCATGAAATGTTAAGTCATCAGTCGTAGGTACAGTCATACTTATAACAAGGTGTGATTCATTGAGGATCTACTTTCCCCATGAATCATTGTGAATCACTTTGAATCACTGAAATACAAGGGTGTTGTTGGTACATATAATATCAATTGAATTTCAGAAAAAAATCCTCCATAATAATGTTGTTCACTCTTGGAACTCAATGGTTTATTAGCCATTAGTATTAATGATTTTAATACCTGAAAACTATGGGTAGAATTTTGTTTCACAAGAAAATTAACTTTAAAAACAGATATTTTCATGGATCTTTTTATGATTGCGCACATTGTGATTGAAATGGTTTTTACACCAAACAAAAACCTCTGTATTTTAATTTTGATAGCAGCAATTCCGAAAATCTTGATAAATAATCTTGAACTTATCCATTGTTCACCAATCACAACAATAGATGCACACAGAAATTTCTTAATTGACAGTAGTTAAAACTTGTATAAGTTAGTTTGTAAAAGGTATTAAAATTGCTAGCTAAACTAGCTTTGTAAATAGTTTTGAAATTGCTAGCTTAACTTGTTGCTGGCTTCAAACTGTGTTATAAATTCATCTGGATTCCTCATGATCAAGTTGAATGAGCCTATTTGGTATATTAATAAGCCTGTATCATTAACGAGGAAAAAATGGATGTATATTTAACAAAGAGTCGCATATGTTTTATTTATCGTCAGATGAAAAGCATATTGTTAAGTAAAGATCATTCAAGAGTTTGATACATAAGACAGGTTGTTTGTGATCACTACTGCAGGGAAAGAAACCTGCGAAAAGAGAGTTTACCCAAATGTCGCGGTTGGGGGGTTTAGATAATTGAGCTAACAGCCTCTTGATGATTTTAAGGGCAATAGATAATTGATAGATCAGCCCGATTATCTTATTCAGTGATTTAGATAGATTTGTTTATCATGCTTTTGTTACAGTGTATGGGGATAGTTTATAACCAGTTCAGATAGTATTGGATAAATCAGGATCTTTATATATTTTCTTACAATATTAGACAAATCCTTAACTTCATATATTTTCATACAATATTAGATAAATCCTGATCTTTATATATTTTCTTACAATAATAGACAAATCCTGAACTTCATATATTTTCATAAAATATTAGATAAATCCTGATCTTCATATATTTTCAAACAATATTAGATAAATCCTGATCTTTATATATTTTCAGACATTATTGGATAGACATGTGTTTTTAAATTAACACATGACATGGGCAAAGTCTTTTTTTCATGCAGCCAAAAGTTACCAATTTAAAACATGTACCAGTGGGCTAGCATGTCTAAAGAAAACACAAAATTGTCTCAAAACCTCAATCTTAACATTGTTTGTCAAATTCTGAGTCGAACAGAATTATTTTATCGCTGTTGAAATATAATTGCGTGTAAGAAAAGCTTGGTTAAATCATCAGTTCCATGGTGTTCTGTTTATTCCAATTCTAAGCTAGACAAATCAAATTTGGGGCCTTCAATGTTTTTTGGGGTGGATTAATCTTCATCTGGGACACCTGGACCCAAAGCCAGAGGTTTATGAGTACATCAATAAAAAAAATTACATAAATTAGAAATTTAAACTTCTTACTTTTAAAAAATCTTTTTATTTGATTTCATTGAATTTTTCAGATTCATAAAGTCAGTTTTATAAATGATTTGTGAATTAGAACATTTGTAATCATAGTGAATGATTTAGCCAGTTTAGAAAACAATTTGTGAAGTAGAACAATTATAAACTGTTTATTTGTGTGTTACTTTAAAATCTGAAATAATCCTCTAATTGGATTAACAGACGAGTAATCAGTTCACTTAACCACCATGTAAACAGACAAATCTTTGTATATTTTGGATAAGTTAATGAGGGAATGAGCGTTCAGGGTGAGAGCAATACTGTGACCTCTTTCTTATGGAGGTGAGATTGGTATATGGGTTGCCATGACTACCTGTAGAAAGATGGAAAACAGATGTTTATTTCATTCATAAAAATGGCACTGTCAGTGACTGCAATCTACAAGATTGAGAATGTTACGTCACTTGTCAAAAATGTTTTTTTACATGTCAAAATTTTCTCATGGATGGACTTCCTGGTGAAAACGAAAATGTTAATGTTTGATTCAAAAAAAAATTTTGGCAGAAAGTGCAGTTGAATTTTTCTTTTATCTGGAACAGTTATGAATCAAGATTTAGTATTCATATGAGAGCATAAAATGGAAATAAAAGTAGCAAAATTACCAAAAAAAAATAAAATTCTTTCCTTGTCTAAATCTGTGGAAGTTTTAAGAAACTGTTCACGACTACTGGTAGTTAAAATGAATAAAAAAGAAGACAAAAAAATTCCTCTACTCAAATTAGAAATTTCTCTAAATCTCTCATTGAAGAAATGATAAAAGGAGATGAAAAATGTTCTTTTCTTTCATTGAAAATGAAGGTGTTGACAGGCAAGTGATACAGTAGTTCGACTACTTAGACCATTCGGCCACCGAAGCCCCCTTCATACATAAAACTACTCAGTACAAAGATGTACAAAAATTTGTGCTCGAAACACCAAATCTAGTATGTTTATTGGTTGATTTCTGTGTCTAGTACGATTATCGTACTCTTAAAGTTTTATGACTGTCAGCCCTGATATTGCCCATGTGTGTGTTAAGGTGGCATTAAATCACTTTCAATCAATCATTACACCCTAATTCCTGAAAGGACAAAAAATTAAGAGATAAACAACAAACATTGACAAATTATTTTATTGACATTTAATTCAACATTTTTCATTCAAAAAAAAATTCACTGACATAATAGATGTTATAAATATTAGATGTGTTTGTTTCCATGGGAACACATAAAAAACACAAAAAGAGGAAGTTTATTGGCGGACATCCATTTTAGAGAGAATATGAAACCATGACATTTTAAATATTTATATCAGAATTTGACACAGCCCCTTACGTCATTGATCAAACAACTAGCAAGAAAAAGAGGTGTTACTATTCTTGTACAAAATAATTAATAGAGTGAATTGGCTCTCTAGAATAAATAAACTTTGTGCAGTAAAATTAAAAGTGTTGCCAGGTTTTTGGGTAGGAAAATGTGTGATGTAATTATTTTTGATTTTCACGCTATTAATGAAGGGCCACTTACATTTTTCAACTGTTTTTCAAGTGTCACTTGTGACAGTGTGTGTGAAATACTTTGTTTTGAAAATGGAAAGTAAGAAAAAAGTTGTTTTATACACATGTTTATAATTCAGTATTTTCCCTAGAAGGTTTATGTATGGTGGTGCCCCAATGGATTTATTTGGGCCCCATTCTTTAAATTTTGGAATACTCATACTCTATATAAGCTTTCATTCTTTAAAACTCATGACCACAATCCTTAAAAGTCGATCTCTTATCCTTCACAACAAATTTCTAAGGAAAACATTGAGATGGCACGAGATTTTTTTGAATGATAATTTTCAGATTTTGAAATATTTTGCAGTAAAAACAAAAAAAATATTGTAATGAGAAAATTTCAAGTCGATGAATTGGTACCCAAAGAATGAAAATGAATCCAAAGTAATCCTTCTTTAATTTTGACAATTCTAGCAACTCTAATTTCCTGATCTAAGGAAAATTTAAACGCCCCAGAAATATTAATCATGAATATAAGGCTGCCACATCAAAAAAAAAAAACCAACATCAATGATACCTTTAATTCTGGCCACCAGACACCATATAAAAATAAGGAGATGTAGTATGATTTCCAATGTCACAACTATCCACCAAAGTTCAATTGAAGTTCAAAACACTTTTCTTCAAAATATTCATCAGTGATGCTCACATCAAAAAACTTAAAAGGCCAAAATTCCAGCAAAATTCTGTAACATGGCGATTTTACAGGTAAAATTTCTTCACAATATCAAAGAAGCCTGCCATACAAATGATATTTCATGGCAAACAACCCTAACAAAACTATTCTTTATTCTCCCTCTTGTAAGTATTGGATACACCCATGTGGACATTAGCCTGATTTAGAGTATCAAATTTACAAGGCAAAATGATTGCTTTCAATTAGTTAGAAAGGGGTTTTGCACAGTCTGCATGGTTAGCCACTAGTCTGATGCCCCAGACTAGTAAAATTTTATTTGAATTAGTAAGTATTTGCAAAACTTTGTTTATACACATAAGGAAAATGTTGGAATATTGGTCTTCGGACTAGTAGTTGTAAAAGATCTTGGTGCAGACTGCTTGCAGCAATTTAACCTTATGTCATGGGAAAACATGATCAATCTAAAAATAAATGATAAATGCAGGATATCAGAACCGTAAAGTGTTGGTCCGAAGGTTTGACAAAGGACCAACACAATTTTGATATTTTGCAATAGAAATTATAGTTAGAACCAGAAAATTTTCTTAACAGACCATCGGGAAAAAAAGATTTATACAACTCAGGGATATCCACTAACAGTGTATTGCATTATTGTGTAAAAACCTTTGTATTGATATATGTCTTTTGTATTTATTTCAGCAGGGCTACCCTGCCATGTCACCGTCACAACACGACAACATGATAAACTCCGGTCTTCCTCCAATGTCTACCTTCCGAGGTGGTCAGCCAACAACATCTGCGTATTCCAGTACATCTCCCACAGTTAATGGTACGGAAATGATACGACCCCCAGCCAGTTCACAGACAGGTGACGCCTTAGGAAAAGCATTAGCCTCGGTATGGAATTATTAGTTGAAAATTATATTAAAAATTGCATTTCACATAAGGGTTAAAGTGAAGGTAAAAAAAAAATTGAAATCTAATCGATTTGTTATGAAAATGCTTGAAATATTTTCCCCTGGATAATATAGGCAAATCATCAATCATTTACATCAAGCTCTAAACGACTGACAGTTAAATGAGACTATGATGGGGGTCGAGGTTCAAGTTTTTTTCAGTGCCTCCCACCCACATGTATTATCTTCATTAGTAAAATAACAAAAGAAGATGTATATTGTTCATTGATCTGATGGAATGTGAGAAGCTTATTCATGTAGCAGAAAATTGTTAGAAAAATGTGAATTTTGCAATGATAATTATGAACTATCACTGAATTCATTTATTTGCTACACATATAAAACAGGAATATTAGAGAGAAGATGGACACTTGAAAATATTGCAATCTTGTATAAAGACACAAAATAATTAGATAGACCTGCTATTTGTCATTCACCTGTTTAGACATTATTAGATAATTCATGAGCTTTATGTATTTGCATACAATATTATATAAATCCTAAACTACATATATTTTCATACAATATCAGATAAATCCTAAACTACATATATTTTCATACAATATCAGATAAATCCTAAACTACATATATTTTCATACAATATTAAATAGTTTATGAACTACATATATTTTCATACAATATTAGATAAATCCTGAACTACACATATTTTCATACAATATTAGATAAATCCTAAACTACATATATTTTCATACAATATTAGATATATCCTGATATTTATTTATTTTCAGACATTATTGGATTAATCCTGATCTTTATATATTTTTCGGACACATTTGAAAAATCCTGATCTTTATATATTTTCAGATATATTCACCAACAGATCATACAAGCAGTAATTATGGTTCAAACCCTTCAACGCCAGTATCATCTCCATCCCCATTAGCTGGTGAGTATGCCTTAAGTTCTCCCTCATCTGAGCTTAAAATATTTCTTCATTAAGATGGTACCAAACACTAATTTTCATTAAATTTTGACAAAATATTAACTTTGACCCTTTGACAAAAATATAAAAAATTTTAAAAACTTGATCCACACACTTTATAGGCAACATTTCTTTGGATATATAGCAGTTTGACAAACACTTATTTTGATCATTGAGAAGCTTAATATTTCCTTAACAATAGAACGTGCTTAAAATGTTCAGCTGATTTTTACCGAGTTATCTCCCTGTAGTGTTGTGTACCACCTAAGGTAGTAGATCTGAATAGACATTAGAAACGTGTTTGTAATAGTAAATTTCTTCAATGCTTATTAGGCATTCATGTGACACACCAACCTTGTGTAGCTTGTCAATGTATGTATTTTGTTTAGTAAGATATGTTTCTATGACATTACATACCTATAAATGTTTAAATATTAATTTCACTGACTTTTTCATTTTTTTTTTTTTTTTTCATTAAATTTTGTATATGTTTCCGCCTATTTTGTTCTGACAATGATATTTATACTTTGTTGAAAAAACGCAAAAACAAATTCATGAAAATATCCCTGAATTGAAGGTTTTTGATCATATGGATTTGAAGACTGGGTTCATTGTTGTATTGTCTTTATAGGTTCATCAGGCCAGTGGCAGAGACCAGCACAACAGAGTTCTACCTCACCCCATTTTGTTGAAGGAGGAGGAGGAGGCACACTCCATTCTTTAGTAAGTTTACTTTGAGGACAGGGTCATATAGTTTGTAAGGGGCACTAACTCTTGTTTTCTTCACATTCTTTTTATGTTGTTTTTTTTTCAAAAGATGGAATTGAAATATTTGAAAAAAACGAAAACAGATATGAAATATATATACTGTTAAGTTATGTTATGGGTGATATTTGTGGTGGATTGATATGGTTTTCTTTTAGAAAGTACTTAAGATTGAGAAGATGGTGTATTCATTTGTTAAATTTGAAGAAGAAAAAAATCCCCAGTGTCAGCATCAGAGAAATGAGAAATTTAATAGTCATGAATGAAGCTAAAAACTATAGCATTTACAAATTTTAACCAACATTAGTTCTTGGAGAGATTGTCAAATAATATTTTTAAAATAATACTATTTGACTTCAAAGTCCTTGATTTTTTCCTTAAAAAATATGTGTATGAATTCTACATTTACTAAATGATGGTGTGTGGTTTACCCTGGACAAACTGCTTTTCTCCATCAATTATACTGGCGGAATTAACATTGTACCTAGTTATATGAAGAATCAAAATATATTCTGTGGATTCATGAAGTTTCAAAGATAGGAATTTTCGTGGATTGATACAAAACTATATATACATGGATACTGTAAACTTCACTTTTTTTCTTGACTTTCCAAGTTGAAAAATAATGTGAATATAAATTGATGATAATATGTTGGAGTTCAATCTTCCCTTATTTAAAAACATCAAGAAAATAAGAAAATCGGGAAAATTAATGGTTGTGAAATTTGCTAGGAAGGGCTAAATGCAAAATAATATTTTTCGCAAAAAAAAGCTGTTTACTGTATTAGATTTTGTGGTTATGCCAAAATCTGCATACAAGCCTATAGAACATTTGTACTTTGTTGAACTTTAAGATTTGTACTTCACCTGTACCAAGGGAATGCATAAAAATATTGGTATCCCACAAATAAATATGAATCGGCAGGTATGCCTTCCATTCATAGTCCATCAATATAAAACAGAAAGACAGTAAGATACACAACCTTATTTTACAGGAATCTTCTGAAAAATGTGACTATCCTGAAAACGTAATTTCTTTTTTAACTGTTTGAATTTTTACTTTGCTGCTTGTATTTTGAATTCAGTTCCAGTTTTAAATTTTCATTTAGTTTCATATCAACTATTGTTTGATACTTCAAAGTTAATGGAAAGAAAACATGTTACTATAGTAATATTTTATTACTGTTGATTCATTATTATTTTTGGAATACCAATTTTGTGTGGATTTTTCGTGGATACAAGTGAACCACATTTTTTTCAATCCACGAAAATTGGTACCCGCGAAATAAATAAATTCACAATATGTTAATTCATTTTGTGTATGCATGTTTATATATATTGTGAATGTCTATTTGGTTCGTTGATGAATATTTTCTCTGTGGTCCGATTAAACTTAGAATATGTGTTTATGTGTGTGTACACTTCCCTGCTTTAAAAAAAAAGAAAACACATACATTGGACAAATGTTGAATTATTATGACACTTAAATGAATAAATGAATGAAGCAACTTTGAAATTAATACACTAACTTTTCCCTCACGCTCCTTGTCTGAAAACAAAAAATAGAAAATTCATACAATTGAATATTGCTGTTCCTCAAATGACGTATCATTTTGCTTTCAAAAATATCTCGTACATTTAAATTGATAGGTAAATGGTTTCTCACTTCTGACTAATCATATAACAAATGTTTTCTATGGCTGTCACACATATATGGTCAAATGAACCAGGTTGAATCTGAAATTGATTTGAAATAAAAACCCACTAAAAAGTGAAAATACTGTGGATTCAGTTATTTTCGTGGATTGAGGAAAAATTTTATTTTCGTGGATATTTGATTTTAATTTTTTCTTGAAATTTTGCTTATAAGCAAATAGAAAATTAATCAAAAACCATGAAATCCACGAAAATCTGTTCCTGCCTGAATTATAATGAATCCACAGTAGATAATCTTGGTGCATGTGTACTAACCCTTTTGTTGGTTTATCCAGCAAAGAGGAATGGAAGAGAGACTGGACGACGCGATTCACGTACTCCGAGATCACGTTGAGCTGGAGGTAAAACTTTCCCAGGGTTCCCTGGTGCTTCCATCTGCTTCAAACAAAATATTGCCAGGTTTTATGGGAATGCGGTTATGTTGTTCAGTTGAAACTGTTCAGGCCTAAAATAAAATTTAGATTGTTTGATGTTACCTGCCTACCCACCTAAAAAGCAGCCGACCCAAAAATTTATGACACAAATTGGTTCAAAAATTTTTTTTAAAAGATTTTTTCCTGCTCCAATGTCGTTTTCTTGTCTCAAACATGTAACTTGTGTTGTTGGTAAAAAAAAAATTAAAATCCCTACCTACCTACTCAACACTACAAGGCATGGGTAGGCAACATCAGACAAAGAATTTTTTAAGGGTGGCCTCATGTATATATATATGGTGATTTTGTGAAAAAAAAAGCTAAAGACAATGTAAACATAGATGAAAGGTAAATATTTTTGAATGGAGGAAATCTGTTCATCATTAGGTGAATTTTAAAAAAAATTGGTTATGCATAAAATGGCACTCTAAAATTGTTTAATTTTAATATCTTTGGGGTCTTATTTGGCACATTAGAATTGAAAATAAAAATATAACATGCATTAAAATTTCTGCAAATGCTGATCACTAAACAATTTCTTAATTTGTGTATACCATCAAGTCTGGTAATTTTGTTCGTTGAGGAAGTTCGTTCAGTTCATTGAAATATCATTAAATGAACGGACTTTCAAGACAGATGGAATAACTTGCAACCGCTGTATGTCTGGAACTTTTTTTTCACAAAATCTATTCAATTTAGTTGTTGTATTCATTCATGTATCTCTGCTTTCTTTCAGCTTCAGACCCCAAAAAATTATTCATATTTTTTTTAATGCATTCTTCGTTGTAAGAAGTAAAAAAATAATTGATGTGTGACTTTTATAAATGGTAACAGGGCCATATGGTGACAGATAGTTGCTAATTTCTAAGTCATTTAGTTTGGTTGAGAGTTGTCTCATTGGCAATCATACCACATCTTATTTTTATATAGGGTTTTATTGTTATCATGAAAAAAAATACAAGAATTTCATTTATCAGCTACAACATGCATTTGTATATACTCATCCTCGAAGCTTTGCATGTTCTGTTAAGCTCTGATTACTTTTTATTTAAAGAGTCATTGATTTTTCTTTTGTTTCAGTTTTTATTTTCTGCCATTTATGGTCTTTTTTCACTCCAGTGTTTGTCTATATATATATATACATATATGGACATTCATATTTTTGCAGATAAACACTTCAGACACACACAATTTATAAGTGTTGTTTTCGTTTTAAAAGAAACTGAAAAACACCCTTTCTTTGTAATATTTTAAACTTTTTAATCTTTGAATATACCCCCAATTCAACAGCACTTCCAAGTGCAGTTAATACATTAACAATGAATCTTTTAAGAAATTATTTCCATAGAAAATCCTATTTGAAAAATTGCAAAAACTAAAATAGAAATCTCAAGTAATGGTCTTTAAAATGGATTCTTTGAATTGGTTGAAAGTCATGGTCACTGAAATGTTTTATTGACAAAGTAGATGTAATGGTGACTTAAAACGTTTTATTTTCTTGTAGCAGAGTCGGATGGAAGAAAGATTAGACGATGCAATACATGTTTTACGACACCACGCTGAGCCGATTCAGATGGTTGGCCAGCAAGGAATGATGCAACCGTCACATTCCAATGGTATTATGGGATACGGTGGCGGAATGGGATCAAATACCATTGATGCCTTGGTAAGAAATAAAATCAAATGTTTCATGAAGCTGCATGAGTTCAGAATCCAAGCCTCACTTTAACTTCATGGAGATGAAAAGGGAGAGGGATTAGTATGCATACCTCCAAACAAATTTATGTGCCTGTCTCAAATCTGGGTCAAACCAATTCCTATCTTTTATGTGTTTTTATACGACCGCAAAAAAATTTTGTGGTCGTATATTGGTATGACGTTGGCGTCGTCGTCGTTGTCGTCCGAATACATATTGGTTTTCGCACTCTAACTTTAGTTTAAGTGAATGGATCTTTTTGAAATTTGACCATAAGGTTAGATACCACAAAAGGAAGGTTGGGATTGATTTTGGGGGTGATGGTACCAACAGTTAAGGAATTAGGGGCCAAAAATGAGCATTTTCTAGTTTCCAGACAATAACTGTGGAACGGTGTATGGATCTCTCTGAAATTATACTACAAGTTTCCATACCACAAAGGGATGGTTAGGATTTGCTTTGGGGGGTTATGGCTCAAACCGTTTAGGAATTAGGGGCAAAAAAGGGGGAAAAACAAGGTTGTCCTGGTTAATGGACAAATACTTTAGTACAAAACATAATTTAAAGCAGTGTAAGGGAGATAAATCAAATACATCATTGAAATTATCTCCCTTACACTGCTTTTAAATTATGTATAAAGTAATGGTTAATGAACAATAAAGATAATCTAAAACAGTGTAAGGGAGGTAATCCAAATACAACGTTTTGGTTACTTCGCTTACGCTGCTTTTAAATTATGTTTAAAGAAATGCATATTTATAAAGGAAGACCAGTAAAAATATCTGCAAATGTTTTCATCTTTTTTTTTTTACAAAAAAATCCATAAGAAAGATTTGACACTATATTTTTATTAATTCTGTTATAAAATAGATTAAGTTAGCACTATGGTAAATTTAAATGGGTAATTATGGTTGCCAACTCAATTGGAAATTTGAATTGAGATTATGACCATATCTTGAGGGAAAGAATTTTTTTTGGGGAAAAAGGGGGGGGGGATAAAAAGAAATTGTGGGGGGCCAATTTTTTCTCATTTCAGATTTCAGAAATTAAAAAGAATTATTCTTCAAAAATAATTTTTTTTTCAAATTTCAAATATTGAAAAATTTCAAGAAGTAATCTTTAATTGCACAGTATGGCGCATTAGATTTGTAAAATCTTTGATCACATTTAATTATTTGTTATGCCGAATCTAACAGTGTATTTAGATTTTTAATTTTGGGTCCAGTTTTCAAATTGGTCTACATTAATGTCCAAAGGGTCCAAAATTAAACTTTGTTTGATTTTAGCAAAAATTGAATATATGAGGTTCTTTGATATGCTGAATCTAAACATGTATTTAGATTTTTGATTTTTGGCCCAGTTTTCAAGTTGGTCCAAATTGGGGTCCAAAATTAAACTTTGTTTGATTTCAACAAAAATTGAATATATGGGGTTCTTTGATATGCTGAATCTAACCATGTATTTAGATTTTTTATTTGTGGACCCCGTTATCTAATTGGTTCATATTGAGGTCAAAAGGGTCCAAAATTAAACTTTGTTTGATTTCATCTAAAATTGAATTATTGGGGTTCTTTGATATTCCAAATCTAACCGTGTATTTAGGTTTTTAATTTTGGGTCCTGTTTTTTAAATTGGTCTACATTGAGGTCCAAAGGGTCCAAAATTAAACTTAGTTTGATTTTGACAAAAATTGAATTCTTGGGGTTCTTTGATTTGCTGAATCTAAACATGTGTTTAGATTTTTGATTATGGGCCCAGTTTTCAAGTTGGTCCAAGATAGGGTCCAGTATTTAAACTTTGTTTGATTTCAACAAAAATTGAATATATGGGGTTCTTTGATATGCTGAATCTAAACATGTATTTAGATTTTTGATTATGGGCCCAGTTTTCAAGTTGGTCCAAATTGGGGTCCAAAATTAAACTTTGTTTGATTTCAACAAAAATTGAATATATGAGGTTCTTTGATATGCTGAATCTAACCATGTATTTAGATTTTTTATTTGTAGGCCCCGCTATCAAATTGGTTCATATTGAGGTCAAAAGGGTCCAAAATTAAACTTTGTTTGATTTCATCGAAAATTGAATTATTGGGGTTCTTTGATATGCCAAATCTAACCGTATTTTTAATTTGGGTCCCGTTTTTTAAATTGGTCTTCATTGAGGTCCAAAGGGTCCAAAATTAAACTTAGTTTGATTTTAACAAAAATTGAATTCTTGGGGTTCTTTGATATGCTGAATCTAAACATGTGTTTAGATTTTTGATTATGGGCCCAGTTTTCAAGTTGGTCCAAGTTGGGGTCCAAAATTAAACTTTTTTTTATTTCAACAAAAATTGAATATATGGGGTTCTTTGATATGCTGAATCTAACCATGAATTTAGATTTTTTATTTGTGGGCCCCGCTATCAAATTGCTTCATATTGAGGTCAAAAGGGTCCAAAATTAAACTTTGTTTGATTTCATCAAAAATTGAATTATTGGGGTTCTTTGATATTCCAAATCTAACCGTGTATTTAGATTTTTAATTTTAAGTCCCGTTTTTTGAATTGGTCTACATTAAGGTCCAAAGGGTCCAAAATTAAACTTAGTTTGATTTTAGCAAAAATTGAATTCTTGGGGTTCTTTGATATGCTGAATCTAAACGTGTTTAGATTTTTGATTATGGGCCCAGTTTTCAAGTTTGTCCAAGTTGGGGTCCAAAATTAAACTTTGTTTGATTTTAACAAAAATTGAATATATGGGGTTCTTTGATATGCTGAATCTAACCATGTATTTTGATTTTGGACATTGGACCATAATAGGTAAATTAAAAAAATTCAAGTTCTTAGACCACATTCTTTCTGTGTCAGAAACCTATGCTGTGTCAAATATTTAATAACAATCCAAATTCAGAGCTGTTTCAAGCTTGAATGTTGTGTCCATACTTGCCCCAACTGTTCAGGGTTCGACCTCTGCGGTCGTATCAAGCTGCGCCCCAGCGAAGCATTTTATTGTTTGATAAGATTTTAGTCTTCTCTGTTGTCTGGGCTATAGAAATGTGGTCAACTGGAATATCCCCATCCGACAATAAGACCAGTCCTTAGGGGGCATATATTTGGATCTTTGTGATGAAGAAATACACAGCCACATCAGAATAGGTCAGAATAGGGATATTGTATCAGGAGAAATCCATATTCTTTGTGTTTTAAAGTGCTCTTTCATAAAATAATAAGTGACCTATTATGAGGCTAAAATGCTCCACCAACCAATCATATACACAACAAGCAGTCAATCTGTTGAATTTTATATCAACAAGTATTAGGACAATTAAGGGCTTGTCGTACATGTACATGTACCTTGTGGGCTTTTCTTGATTTGAGGTTGGTGACCGCTGAATGTCTCATTTGGTAACTGGTGTTGTTGCATTTTCTATTCATGTTGTTTTCATCCCTAGAAGAATGAGAATTGATGGGTATGCACAAAGGCCGCCACCTGAAATAGATATTAGCAAAAAACGACAAAGCATTCATTTATCATTTTGTAATAAGTTTGATCTGTGTAAGTCATTCAAATAATTTATTATGGAAGTAATAAAATGGTAAAGGAATCAACATAGAGATTTTCACACATGTTTCCGTGGATGGTTAGGACATTAGGATAATTTGTGATGTAATGGCTGCACATTTTCTACAAACTGCAGAAGGACATTGTAATTATTAAGTATTTAGTAACTACTTGCATGTAGCATCTCTGTGAAAATGTGCCGTCTGCTTTTCTTTTTTCAAATAAAACAATCTGGAGAAAGGATTATATTTGAGGCGGCTGCAGAATTGTTCATGCATAACTCAGTGATTTGCAGGCTGAGTAATGGCTTCCACATCTGGTAAAGTGTTTTCTGCCTTCTTGCAGAAGAGGACATATGGTAGAGAAGTTTTCCACCTCCCCAGAGAAGAGCTGTTGTCTTGTCATGATGTAATCCATTTATATAAAGTGTTTTGGCAGATTTCTTAAATTCAGATAACACTAACTTATCGACTTAACCAGATAAAAATTGACGGGGATGTTTTTTGTATTTTAAAAACACAACTATGTAATCGATTTATGAGGAAGGTGTCTGTTTCACTTCATTTTGTAGACTTATTTGTTTTCCAAAATGCATAAAATACTTCTATTAAAGGACATGGGGAAATTAAATCCTCTAATTTGATTTTGATTAAAATATTTTCATTTTCATTTCAGGCAACACAACACAACTCATTATCAGAGAACCGAACCAGTACTTCAGAACAATCTAAACCTGATTGTAAGTTTGTAATTTACCACAATCCCCCCCCCCCCCCCCTTTTCAGATGTGCTTTTGTTCTTGTAAACCATTACACTTCATTGAGTTGAGGTATCAAGATGCCATCCACAATCCTCATCAAACTTGATTGCAAGTTTTATATATTCACCCTAAACCCCTTCTCCCCTTATCAGCTGTAGTGTATTGGTCCTATAACCCATTACACTTAATTGAGTGGAGGTATTGAGATGCCATCTACAATCCTGATGAAGTATCGAGTAGAAGTCAGTACTAAAAGGATGCAAATTATCATTATGTGTACACAATGGTTTCACAGATACAAGGACATGGCCTGGGTTGAGTTAACTGTTGGTTGATTTTCATTTGTTTCCATTTCCTATAGATTCATTTGTTATTTCATGAAATGAGGAAATTTGTAAGTTCTTTAATATTTGATTTCATGATTTTGCCTAAGTCTGCATTCAAACAATTATAACTGTTTTAAAGTTTTTCATATGACCAATCTATGGAATGAACTACTGTAAATTCAGAAATTATTGCGTGCATTTATTATTGCGATTTTTCAAGAATGGACAAAAATGCGAGATTAATTATTGCGATATCATGAAAATCTTCATACAGATATATGTAACAGATATCAGAATGCGAGTTCTTATTATTGCAATAGTCACCGAGTCGCATTTTTCGCATTAATAAAAACCTCGCAATAATTTCTGAATTTACAGTAATTTTAATGCCTTTCTGTACTGGATATGAAAAAAATGAGATGTGGTATGATTGCCAATGAGACAACTATCCACTAAAGACTTATTTGAGGATGTAAGCAAATCTAGGCTATCATGCTACTACAAGAAGATCTAGTCTATTCACAATTGTTAATTAAGTATTTCAAAATGTAATTGTTTATTGCAGTACACAATTTAGAACAAAGTCAAACTCTTCAACAAAAGACGGCTGAGAAAGTTGATAAAAAAGACAGTAAAGGCAAAGAAACAGAGACAGCCGCCAAACCACCTCCAGCTAAACGATCTCGGTAAGTCAAACCACAAACCTGTGACACTTATAACTTCATTTTTTTTTTTGACAAAGTTTGAGTGGGGAAGAAAAGTGGAAATGTGAAAAAGTCTGTATGCGAGAAAATCTATTCTGAATATCATATAAGATGGCGGATGTAAATTGACAGTGCTGGCCTCTCGCTTATATTAAGTAATTCTGTAAAATATAAATGCAATTTATACTCATTCTTCTTTCAAAATGTCACTTAAAAACTTTATGGACAACCTCAGGTAATTTTGTGGACATCTTTTGGATACATTCGGGAATTTAATGTTCTGATCCATAAAAGAGGCAGAAGATTCCGAAGTGAGAATCTAAACTCATAAGTCGTAAGATAGCCCGCCAAAATTATGGCAAAAAGCAAGAATTAACGAAAAGACAAATAACAATCTACAAATACTACCAAAAAAAAAAACAAATTTAAGACCAGGATTACGAAACCCACCATCAGGTTGTGTACAGATATTTGATAGAACTATACTTTTAACAGGTCTTGAAATATGATATATTTGATTTGATAATAAACATTTTACAATTGCAGATGGACAGCTAAAGAGAAAGTCCAGCCTGCAGGACCAGCATCACCAACATCGTAAGTTCAAATCTTTGAATAAGACATTTATGAGGATACAAAAATATCGTCAATGATACCAGGATTATAATTTGTATGCCAGACGTGTGTTTAAACAAATCTTATGATTGTAAGTTATACTGAAAAGCTTTATGAATTTTTTCTTGCAAGAATTTTCCTGAAAAGAGTCTGACTTTAACATCTTACAAGCTGATAAAAAGTCTGCAACATTGTACAAGTTCAGACTGGTTGTAATTCTTCATCTGTAGTGATAGGGTATTGAGATAAGTTCTCTTATAGATATAGCAACTGATTATAGATATCAGGATTAGAATTTTGTATGCCAGACACACATTTCTTTAATAAAAGACTCATCAGTGACTCTTAAATCAAAAGAGTTAAAAAGGCCAAATATAGTACGAGGTTGAAAAGCATATGTTTGTTAAAAATATGCATATAGACCTTATCGCTATTTGGAAATAGCCGCTTGACCCGAGAATCTGCGCCTCTTGAACTATTGACTTCATACAACAATCACTTTTCCATTGTGGCACCAGATAATTTGTATTATGACATCAAAATTCTACGGGAACTTTCTTGATGTCCAGTAATGGCTGACAAATAGCGATAAGGTGTATTAATTGATGTAATGAGAAGAAATTCCTATAATTTGACAGAAGGTTTTGTTTAATGGACAACCCAAACTTGTCACCTGAATTTGAATTTGCTACATTGTATATATGTTAATACTGTGAAACGGAGAAACTTTCTATAATTTGAGACAAGTAATAGAAAAACAAAGGATAAGGGGTATCCATACATGACACAAAATCAGTACATGCACAGCAAAAAATCACACACAAAAAGCAAAGGAACAGCGCTTTTATTGCTGTTCTTCATCTCAATTTTGATTGGACAGTATCTCAAACCAGTGTCCTGGTTTTTGACTATTTGCCTTTAGGATAGTCCATGTTTAAGGTTGTTATAAAAGAAAAAAATTCTATGATTTTACACAAGGTCGTTATTTATTCAACAGTAGCATTGGAGACGACCCAAATGAGTCTCCTGAAACTAAACTAGAAAGAGAGAGATTGAGGAGGCAAGCCAACAATTGTAGAGAAAGGTTTGTGATTTTAAATTTAGAAAAAATTTTGGGATTACTTTTTTTGATTCGGTACCAATTTTTGCTGATTTCGTTGTAAATCAAAACAATGAATTTTAAAAACAAATGAATGCATTGATTTATAATGGTCTGATTCATAAAATAATCTAATAAAACAATGGCTTTTTATGAATTGCAAAAAATGGTATCGACGAATAAAAGTACTCTTAAAGTAGATATTTGGAATTGTTTCTCAGAGTCATCCATGTGTATAATTTGATTGAAAATTTTCACCTGTTAAGGAATTAGAAACAAAAAAATTATGTAGGAATTTAAAAAAATAATTATTTTTAAATGAGAAAAAAATGGCAGACAGAAATTTGACATTCTGTTATTTGACATTTTTATAAGAAGAATTTAATGTATAAAGTAATTTGAATCAATAGATATTTAGGAAATTTTGGTTCAGAAAATTTTCCAAGTTGGACTAATGGATGGTTCAGTTCATGTTCACTGCAATTTTATTGTAAGAAATATGACAAAGTCTGTCTGTTTTCTTAGCAGTAATGACGTGGGTGAGGAGGACGAAACTCCAGAAGCCAAATTGGAACGGGAAAAATTACGGAGACAGGCTAATAATGCTAGAGAAAGGTTAGTTGCAATTATCTCCCCTTGGTGTATATATTGCAATTAACTGATTATCTCCCCTTGATGTGTTTATTGCAATTAACTGAGGTTTGAATTGAGATATGACCATGTATATATAGATTCTTCCATTGCAGAAAAGTGTGGTCAGAAATATTTGACCAACAAAATTTTACAAAGGAACGACACAATCTTTGGTATTTTGAAATAGAAATAAAAGTGAGGATCAGCAGATGATCTTCAAGGAAAAAAAGATTTCAAGACACTGTGTACATATAGATTCATTCTTCCACTGCATCGAGTGTATGTCATATGATATTCTCAACTAGAGACAGTTAAATTTTCCAATTTTGAATATTTGAAATTAAACTGTCAAAAGAGGAAATTCATAGGTGGAAGCTGTTTCTCTAATGATTTTTAGACCAAATGTGGACAAAGTTAATCTTTCGTTTCCAATGATCTGCAAAAAGATGTGTTCTTTTTCTGTGACATCAGGCATGTTGCCTTTTTCCTTGACTCCACAAAAACAAATTCAGATGAAAGCAATAAAATTTTACCAATGAAGAACTGAGATGAATCTAACAACACTGTAAATTCACAAATTATTGCGAATAATGCAACTCCTTGAGTATCGCAATAATAAGAACTTGCATTCTGATATCTTGTACATATATCTTTGTGTACCTTTTCCTAAAATCGCAATAATGAAAATCACATTTTTGTTCATTCTTCAAAAATTGCAATAATAAATGCACACAATAATTTCAGAATTTACAGTATGTGATGTATTGTAACTTTCAAATTATTTATTTTCTTCCAGGAAAGATAATAAACGAGATATATTTAAAATATTGTATTAAACCTTAGTACAAGAAATTCCAAAAAAATTATGAATAATACATTCCTTCAATGATTTATAGCAGAAACATATGTTTTCTTCTTCTGAGAAAAAATGAAAGAAATAAGATTGATTGATATCCCAGACAAAAAGTTGGTGTCCACGAGATTTATTGACATCTTGGATGGCATGGTATTTCCACATCACTAAATGTCATGATGATGGAATAAGAATTATATTTTTGTCTCGTCGTCCTTTGACTCGAGTCGTGGAAGGTGAGACATATCTCTGTGTCAACAGATAATCATTCTTCATGTTATGAATAGCTGAAGCACATGTTAGATGTAAAAAGAAACATTTTTTCTGTGTGATACATTTTTTGGTACAAAATTGAAATGTCCAAATTTATATATTTTTAGGGTACGAGTACGAGATATAAACGAAGCCTTTAAGGAATTAGGAAGCATGGTAACATTACACTCAGGAAGTAGTCAGCCTCTCACGAAACTAATGGTTTTACAACAGGCTGTCAATGTCATTACAACACTAGAACAACAAGTTAGAGGTTAGTTATCCATACCTGATCTTGAGCCCCAGCCTCTGACAACATTACAATGTCATTTCAAAACTAGACCAACAAGTCAGAGGTAAGTTTTCCTCATCTGTCAGGGCCTCTGTGACCCAAGTGGTCTAAGTAGTTAATCAACAGCTTTACTACCCTGCCAACACTGATGTTATGAGTTCGAAACCCAAACATGGCATGTGTGTTAAACTCTAAACTTAATCGACTAGGATAGCCAGTTTTTCTGCTGAAGTTGGTTGTTTCTCTAGGCATTCCAGATTCCTCCACCAATAAAAACTGGTCGCCATGATATAGATATTAAACCGTACTGAAAGTGGCTTTAAATACCAACAATCAATCAATCCATACCTTCTCGAGTCCCAGCCTCTTGACAACATTGCATGACAGCAACATGTCAGTATCAGTTCATCACTAGAACAGCAAGTCGGGTAAATTATCCATACCTGTCCTCCAACCCAAGCCTCTGACAACATCTCATGACAGCAAATTGTCCATATTCCTTAATTGAAAGCAACTATAGGTCACCATAAGGCCTTCATCAATAAGAAAAGTTCTTTGTTGATAGCAAGGTATAAAGGGCATTACATCACTAAACAACAAGTTTGAGCTTTGTCATCTATACTAAATTCCAGTCCCAACTTAAAAAAAAAATCATTTTGATTCAGGTGTAAAAGTTTATATTATAAACCAGTAATTATTCAGATAAAGATTTTTATAACATCTGAACTTAAATCATATCTTATTTTTCTTTCCAGAAAGAAATCTCAACCCCAAGGCAGCCTGTCTTAAGCGACGGGAGGAAGAGAAAGGGGATGAGATACCTGGGGGGCGGGGCATGAGTGCAGATGACATTGCTGCACAGCAAGCAGCTTTGGCAGGTAAGGTACGCAACATGTTGCTACCTCTTTTGGCAGACGACAGTTATGATGATTACGATGATATGGACTGCTAGCAGGTAAATCACATGGTTAGCATGTGAGCAGGTCATGTGACTTAAGTCATGTGACCATTGCGAGAGTTGGCGTAAGACGTTTCAGTGATTGATGAACAGATTGATGAAAAATCAACTTTTTCTATGAAAGACAACAAAATTTTAAATTATGCCTTATTTCATAGGAATCACCAGCTAATATAATATCTGTGAATATTTCTCACCTCTGAACTAGGAAAGAACTTGTAAAATCTTTTTTTCCTTTATCACCCATTAAAAAGTGATATCTTTAAAATAAAACAAAATTAATAGCATTGAGGCTTGAAAAAAATAATAGCATTGAAACATGAAAAATTGATATCATTTGAACTTGAAAAAATTATAGCCACGATACTTGAAAAAATTATAGTTTTGATACTTCAAAAAATTATAGCTTTGATTTAAAAAATAATAGCTTTGATACATGGAAAAAAAAGTTAAATTTGATGGTAGTTATTCTGCATTTTGAAACACTGTAGCTTACAAATGCCCTCGCCTATTTGTTGTTGTTAATTCTCTTTCCAAATTTCTATTTTTTTTTCATCTGTCTACAAATCTCTTGGTTGTATGGTTTCTCTTTATCTGCTGCTAGCATGCCATATCTTCAGTTTAAGTGCACTAATATTCACTGATTCAGTTCTAGGGAATTCTGGGAAATAAATTTCTAGGGATTTGTGGGTAATAAAGTTTTTCACTTCCATGACAGCAAAAAAGTACCTATGCTTCAGTGAAAGTCAAATAGGTTTTAAAGATCTAGTTTTATTTTTTGCCTTTGATTTAATTGAACTCGATATTCTGTGTTGCCCAGAATTCTACGAACTGAATCATTTTGTTAATTTTATCACTAATTTGTTTTAAGGGGGAGGGGTTGAGTATTCAGCAAACTTAAGTTTCAATGTTGATGTTAGATTTTGATTTCTATTTGGAAATGTTGTACTTAACTATTTCCTGACATCAATTGTAGACTTAATAGAGCTAGTACAGGCTATTTGCAAACATAAAATCATAAATTGATGCAAGCAAAAATTAAAAAATGTTGACGGGCATTAACTGAAATTTGTTAAGGCAGTAAGAAAGATAATGTGAGAGTATTTTAAATGAAAAAATACACAAAGATAGCTCACATATAGAGGTTTATATTTGTCAAGGTTAAATTTCGCATTACCTCAGGTCTATACAGTTAAACGATTTAATTGTTGTGTTTTTCTTGTCTCTTGTTTTGATCTTCCTTAAGGATCACATTTGTTTGCGGGTATATTTTGTAATTTTCTATTTAAGCTTTGAAGATGTGGTATGATTGCAAATGCTACAACTATCCACCAGAGACCAAATTATGTGGATGATACCAACTATAGGTCATTATTGTATGGCCTTCAACAATGAGCAAAACCCATTCCGCATAGCAAGTTATAAAAGGCTGCTAAATGACAAATGTAAAACAATTCATATGAAAAAGCCAGCAGCTCTTTTCACAAAAAACTTAAGAGTAAAATTACTCGTAAGTCATACACATTTCAGTATAACTTACAATCAATTTTAATCGTAAGATTTTTTGTGAAAAGAGTCGCTGGTTTATTTACAAAACAATAGACAAAAAGGGAATATCACATACAGCAACCAACAACAACCGCTGAAGTACAGGCTCCTGAATTGTGACAGGCACATACAGAATGTGGCAGGGTTGAACATGTTGTTAGACAGTAGCAAAAATAAACCGATCTGGAAAATTTCCTATTTATTGTAGAGAGAGAGGAAAAATAGCATTGAAAAATACTTTTCTCATCTTAATAGATATATATGACATATTACTTACTTCTAATCAATGGAAAAAATACAATGAAAGCTAATAGGTGAATTTCATAGATGGAGAGCAAAAACATAAATGGAAAAAATAAGGAAAAGTGTAAAAATATTTGCTCAGATTTGCATCCGAAATAGCAATCCTAAAACAAAATTGCAGTTGATACAGGTAAGATGCCTCACAAATAGATATCTCCATGACACAAAGGAGGAGGTATGATATGGCCACTTTTTTTACCCTTGGGATTTTGAAAATCAAAAAGTATTATAAATCTACCAAAACGCACATAAGTCTGGGAAACATCAGTATTTTTATTTTTATAATTATAATTTGTCTTTTACATGTATTAGCATTAGGGCTTCAAACTTCTTGCATTTAGAGCAGAACAGAAAAAAAAAACTTAAGATGGCCTTAGTTTGAGATCTTGTCATTAACATATAGAAATGAGCAACAGCTTTACTGCAAAGATATTTTGTATTTTTCAATTGTGTTTTAAATGTGTTAGAAATTTCATTTTGGGTAGAGCTCATTTTGAACAAAAATTAAGCTTGAAATAGCCATTTTAGGTGAAATATGTAAATTTAGAATGTTTATTTCGTCATGGTACATCACACATGACCTTTCTGTATACAAGTTTCCAGATTAAAGCAACTGGTTCATTTATCAATAAAATTAACATAATTTAGAAAGGCTTGAATAAGTTTACTATTTTTGCTTTTTCAGGGGGCAAATAATGGCTCTTATTAAAACTCCTCCTTTGTTACTATGGAAATCAATAAATTTTGTGTACATTTATTCATTAATTTATTTTTAACAAAATAATAAAGAATTTAATTTTTTGGCTTTACAGCTAGTCCGTCCATAGGAAATCGTGTGGGATCAATGCATGGGAATTATTCTTATATGTCTGGACAAGAAAACAATCCTTTATCGATGTCGGACAAATATGGTGACGTTAAATACGACTGTCGTGAAAGTCCTTCCAAACCTGTCATGGACGGGTCACAGACAATGTCGTCCATGCATCATAACATGTATGGAATGATGCAGGACCAATGTGGCCCAGATATATCATGTCTCGCCCAAGGTATGTCGTCCGACACTCAACATCAACACCAACATGATACAGGGAACTGCTAGCAGAAAATTTAAGACTGCTTTCTCATGGTACCAGTCCATCAAAACAAAACATTTGTGGGTCACATTTTGTTGTCTGTCGTCTGCAGGAAGTTGTAAATGATCTTTTGTTATGCTATGTTGAAGAGGAGTTTCTTGTTTGCATAAGGATTTGTTAGTAATTGAGAATCTCGATTTTGAATTTGCATCTCTAATGATTAGATATTTTCCTTTAATAACTTCACATTTTTAATCAAGATTTATCCTTTATCGAAGAATGATATAACCTAGGGTTCAGAAGCATGTTAAATAATCCCACTGTTATTACCATGCCAAAATAAAAATCATTGCCAAAAAAAATATTCGAATTTGAAATTCAGATTCTCAGATATATTGTAAAAAGAGGATAAAGTTCAAGATGCAGTGATTTTTTTTATAAAGTTCAAGATTTAAATGATGGAGTTAAGGATTACACTGATGCAATAAAATTGTGTTTATATTTTTGTTACTAACTATGGTTGTAATTGTTCATATTTAAAGTGCTTTTGTCCATTATTTAAATTAAGTTTTTGTATTATTATCTTTTAGATTTTTATGGAGTATTTACTTCAGATTGTATGTGTGTATGATAATTTCTTTCTGGGAGAACTACACTGTTTGTGTCATACAATATCTAAAACATTTTATATTAAATTATGATTGAATGAAGATGAAATGATAGAATTAGGAACATGAAAGGTACCAAGTTGAACCTTATTTTAACAATGTTAGAAATAAAAGTTTGATTTTTTACAAATATTTTTTTCTGTACTAACATATCCAGACAGCTGTTTTTGTTTTGGGAATTTTTGCATACAAAAAAAAATTAGTTTATTTGGTTCCAGTCACCAAAGATTACTTTTGATCAAACAAGACTTAAAGATTTATCAGTTCCCTTTGGTCACTTATCATTGGCTCAAGCCAGTTTTTACTGGACTTGCTGATTTTTAAGTTGTGTAAAGTTGTGAACCACAAGTTGTATTGTCTTCACACAGATCTGTTAAATTTAAGTCTGTTTTTAAACCATTTCACTCTTGTTGATCTAATTGAATTATAATGAATTTGTTTACAGTTCTAATGAATATGGATGAAATATGGTGCTCTTAAAGCCAAAAAATTGTCTAGTAAAATTCTTTTTAAAGCTATGTTGTTATGTCAATATAAAATACAGTTAACAACTGTTTTACATTCTGATGATGCTTTGGGTAATTAAGCTCGGGAGAGTAGCATAAAATTTCAACACAGAGAGTAATAATTATTTGTATGTACATCATATTACACACGTACGTTTAGTTTCCGAGGCAGCCATTTATAAAAATGCCTTTCTTTCCATAGATAAAAAAAAAGCTCAAAATAAGAAATCTCTGAATATAGATCTGAATTAAACAGCTGCAAATTTGCTGTCAGAACTAAAATAAATCTCCATGACACAGACATTTTAATTTCAGATTTTCAGAATTTTTTTTGACTTTTTGAAAACATTTTGATTAACCATGAAAATTATTATAAATGATTTTTCTGTATAAATTTTTGTTTTGATAAAAATCGATTTAAAAATGTACAATTTAAAAAAATGCATTAATTTCTGTTTCATATATATATTTATTTTCACAGGGTTAAACTTGCAATAAAAATTGATATGAAATGATATACACACTGAAGTTTTTGTGAAATAGATTTTTTTAGTTCAAATCATTAAGTTTTAATATATTTGATCATATTCATCTAATTTAAATCAGATTTCTGCAGTTAAGACATCATGAAAAGTTGATCATTTAATTCAAACACCAGTCTAAAACATTTTGGTTACTGTTTTCAAGTCATCAAAGGTTAGAGTTCATGACTTGTTATATGCAAATTTTTCATTTATTTTTAATCTCAGTTTTTTTCACAAATAATATTTTTTTTATTTTTTAAATACATATTTTGTTTGAAAAGGGTTATATTTCCTTTATTGATGCTAAATATGTCCAGCCTCTGTTTTAAAAGGTTTATTTTTTGTAAACAATTAATAGAAAACAACTTTTGATGTTGTCATGACTGCAGAAATATAAACAATGTGGTGCAGTTCATCGTCTGCTCAGATATTTTGTACATAGTGCATCAAAACATTGTAATATACCCATCTGTCTGAGTGATACAGGTATGTACAAGTCACAAGTGTGTGTATGTGTAATTTTACAAGTGTGGTCGTTGTGTATATGTGTGAACAAAATCAGTCGGAAATATTGGTTAAATTTGGTCGATAACAATGGAAAATTACTTTCAAATTTTCTTATAGATATTTTTTCAAGTTGAAATTTTATGAACTGTTAGACATAGTTTATTTGAAAAATATCACGGAATAGAAGTTCCTGCATAATATAAGTTCCAAATGGAAACAATATTCTGGAATATTATTTCCATTGGAATAAATATTACAGTAAATGTTCCTAACGGAATAAATGGTATAGAATATTTGTTCCAAAAGGAACAGATATTATGACATTGTTTATAACAAAGTTTCCAGTGGAACTTCTGTTACGCGGAACAAATATAAGTTGACAGTTATACATGTATTTAGCTAGATTTTTTTTCAGATAAGCCGAGGTCTTAAGTATTTTTCTTATATCATACAAAATATTTGTATTTTATGATTTAACAATCAATATGGTCAAGTATTTATAAATATAATATAGATAGATAATGTCATAATAAAACAATTATTTTGTTTACGTAAAGTAGTTATGAGATTTATAAACTAAATAAACAAAACCATAGGAGACCTCGGTCTGTGGCCTTGGTGAATTTATTAAATTTTTATCAATAAATATGATATCAATTTCATCTAAATAAAAAAAAAGATAAGTAACCTTGGTCTGCGGCTTTGGTGAATATGGTAATTTTGATCAATAGATATGGTATCCACTTCATTAAAAGTTTGGATAAAAAGATATCGACTAATTTTTTTTTGTTTTGTTCAAAACAAGTGAATAATTTGTTTGGAATGAGTGATTGTGTTGGCATGCAAGTTTGTATAATTGATAAACAAACTTTTTAACATTTTTTGACCAATTTGATTTTTACCAAACATATCTCTCAGCTGTTTTTTTAGGTAGACCATTTTCATTATTTTTTTCATTCCTGACAGATGTTTTTTTTTTAAGTTGTACCTTAAAAATGTAGGGTAGCCAAAAGACTTTTATAAGATGGTGCTGAGTTGTTCGTTCTTTTTTTTTTTTTTTTTTTTTTTTTCTCTCGATCTGTTGTATGTTTAGAAGTGTTTAGTTGAAAATTCTATAGTCATTTATTGTTCAGGCATTTAAATGAAAGATGGCTGTACATTTTTGGCTACAAACAATTGTTAAGAACTTTTAAAAGTTGAGATTTTCTTAGGAATTTGATATATTAATGAAGTTTTGATGTGAAAAAAATCATTTCACTTTTATTATATAAAAGTTCCATTTAAAAAAAAATGTCTTGTTTTAAGCCACAACCAAAATGAAATTTTTTACAACTAAGAAAATTGTTTTCATATATTAACAAATTGTATACAACTATATTTGGCAATTTTGGATATTGTTTATGTGTTTAAATTTACAAATATATAAATTATATACAACCTCATAACTGGAAAATTTTGAACATGTCAAATATCTGCCATCAAATTAACACAAATTTATTCAATTTTGTGGGAATTTATAAGTACAGATATTTTTCTGATTATCTGTTTCAATTTGAGATTTTCCAGAAATAACTAATTTTGGGTTGGATTATTCTTTATTTGTACTAGAATTGATGCTGATGTTATCAGAAAATTGTCGGTATAGATAAAAAAAAATAGTGAACCGGTATTAAAAATATAAAGTGGGATGAAATTCATTTCTGGAACTGTCATTGTTTTTATATGAATAAGATCTGTTTAATGTTTTGTGTTGAAGATATTAATTCTTTTTTTTTTTACAATTGTGTAAAAATTACATCATGCAATGAATATTTGGAACTATTTAGATGGAAATTTGCACCAAATGAAATTGATTTGTTTCACAATGAAATCAATTTTCTAATGTTTTTGAATATGTTCAGGAATCCTGAAAGTCTAAAAACATGTAAAATTGATTATTATTTTTTTATTTATTGGCTTCAGTAAAACTATGATTTTCATATAATGTTGCAATATTTGAATCTCAAACATATTGTAGGCATGAAATGTTAATTCATCATAGGGACATAAATCATGTATGAGAGGGGAGATGACTCCAATCATTCTTCATCCAAATTTAAAGAGATCGTGCCTATTTTGTAGATTAAACAAGTTAATAATTAAACATTTGTACATTTGATTGTATTTATCATATAATACACTTCCAACATATTTTTTTTCAATAACTGTTACATAGAGAATTTAGCCAAAACTAAAACCAAATGCTATTAAAAAATAGTTTTTTGAAATTACATGTGTATGTTTATAATGTTGAAGTGAAGGCAAGAAGTGGGCAGGGCAACTTCTACCCTAAACTTAAATGTAGGTCAGAAAAAAATAATTTTTAAATGATAAAGTTCAAGATTTAAAATGATGGAGTTCAGGATTACACTGATGTGATATCTGGTTGTGAAGTTTTGAAGCAAAGATTTTCAAGCAATAAAGAGACAATAGTCATAAGCTATAAAATACAAATATGATCTGAATATTTATACATATCGACTGCCAGTCAGAACACTGCCACGCCCCTTGCCCTGCCCACATCTATCTTCTATCTTTGTTTGACTACTTTATGGTATAGTCATTGCTGAAAATGACACTTAATAAAATTTTATTATAGTTTGTGTGTGTTTTTTCTGTTCATATATGCCATTCAACAAAACAAAAGAAAATTACAAACATCAGTTTTGTCTGCCAACATAGTTGAGGTATTAAGAGCTGCCTTTCCATACACTAAAATAAATAGGCAACACCAAGATGTACATAATTCAACTGTTAAATATTTCATGTTTTAAATGTAAATATCCAAGAAAGAACTTTCTGTGTTGACAGACACTGTGCAAATTGGAAGAAGAAATCAAAGGTGTAAATTTCTAATCACCCAAGTGAGAGATCTCTGATGGTTTGAATAAAAGGAGAGGTTGGAATATATGTCAATGAGACTGCAATCCAACAACAAAAATGACCATAAGAAATATGGAAGTCAACGTACAGTCTTCAACAATAGACCAGTGTCTATACAGTATTGAAACAAGAGTGCACAGCTGAAATGTCTCGCCTGCTTTACTAACAATTATTTATTTAATGTTGACAGCCGCCTTAAAAATAAAGGTTTTAATACGAGTATCACATGAAGTTAATATCATTGATCGATAACAATAAGGTCAAGGTTGGATGAACCTGGCAGACAGACATGTACACATTAAAATTATTCCTTGCACTATTATAGTTGACCTTTTGCTCATAGTATCCAAGAAAAAAACCAAACAATGAAAACTAAACATTGACCAATGAACCATGAAAATGAGGTCAAGGTCGGATGATACATTACAGACAGACATGTACACCTTACAATTATTCCTTGCACCAAGTATAGTTGGCCTATTACTTATAGTATGTAAGAAACAGACTTAGCCATGCAAATTAAATATTGACCAATGAACCATGAAAATGAGGTAAAGGTCAGATGAACACTGCCAGACAGACATGTAGACCTTATAATCATTTCATACACTCTAAATTTAGTTGACCTTTTGCTTCTTGTATCCAAGAAACAAACAAAACAATGAAAACTAAACATTGACCAATGAACCATGAAATTGAAGTCGAGGGTCATGGCTGATATGCATAAAACCACTTACCTTGAGATATCCAATCTTAGTACTAATTTAGCATAGGACATGTAGAAAAATCGATCTGTTCAGAACACATCTTTACTTATAAAGTAGGTTTATGCATATCAACCCTGATGATACACTACAGACTGACATGTACACCTAACAATCATTCCAAACACCAAATATAGACCTATTGCTTGTGGTATTTGAAAAACCAACCAAAACACAAAAACTTAACTTTGACCAATGAACCATGAAAATAAATTTATGATTATAACATATGATGTATATTTATTTGGAGAGTGCTGTACATGTAATGACTTGTCAAGGAAAACCAAACAATGAGATATTTTGTAAATTATTTAATCATTAAATGTATTTTGTCAATCTTGCAAACATTAATATAAAAATTAACAGTAATAACAATAAATATAAAATATAAAATCAATTGGCATAATCATACATGTACTTCATATAAAGTTTGGTTTACAAATCAAGCACAATTTGAAATTCAAATCCCTGATTATTAATTTTCAATAACAACCCCTCATTAAATTAACTGTAGTAATATAGTTTCATAATATATACATTTTTCCACACATTTTAGGCATTACAATATTGAATGAAAACAACAAAATTTAAATATGTTGTAGATAAATTACTTCACAGTTACAAAATATCTACTCCTAGATGCTCTTGACTCCAATCCTAATTGACTTGGATTGTTAGTTTTCCTCCCTTAGGTAGGTTGTTCTCTCCAGGCACTCTGGCTTCCTCTAACAATAAAAATTTGCTACCAAAATATAGCCATAGTGCTGAAAGTGGCAATCAATCAATCACACAATATCAGAGATTTAGAATACCCGAGTTTATGGTTATGGATTTTTAGACCAAACAAGAAAAAAGAAAATGAAAGAGCAAAAATAGAACGATTCTCTAATCCTTTCAAAACTGTTAGTTTTATAGTCTGATCAGATATGTGCAGAAAAGTCATTAACATCAGCTGTTTCTAGAGGGTCACACATTGTGCATACATATATGATTAGTAAAATTTTTCATATATTACATTTATTTTTGTGAAGGTAAATAACTTGAACATAGAAAACAACCGATTGATGAATATCAAAGCTATCCTTTATCTGTATTTTTTTAATAAATATTAATCTACTGACCATTTTTGGCTGCCATTAAACCCCAAAACTTGTAGACAAAATATATAAAAATATTAATTAGTTAATACACAACAGGTCATAAACACATCATGAAGAACTACTTAGATGTTTTAGATGCCCCCCTAAATTCGTCTCTGGGCTTAGATAATCTATTCCCTGAGAACAAAATCCTTGGTATTACTAAAACTTTAAAGTTTAGTAACCAGTCAATTTATAATTATGACATATCAATGATAATTCATGTCAACACAGATAAACTAAAGATTTTAAATACCGGTTAAATATAAAGCTACAAGCCATTTTTGGTCGTCTTTAAACCCAAAAGTCATAAACACATCATAAAGAGCTACTTAGATGTTTTTTAAACAAATATAAAGCTACTGGCCATTCGTTGCCACCTTTAAAACCAAAAACTTCCGAACAAAATATGAAAAATAATCTCCAATTAAATAACTGTTTGTCTGCTTCATCACCATAATTGTTTCTAAATATATCTTTGACCTTTTCAATATTAAGGTCAGTCTTCTCAAGCCACGCCTCCAATGTTTTGCTGTAGTTTTGCCCATTCCAAATCCAATGGTCTACCACATAAACATCTTTCTGCAAAAAAAAAAGGTTCACCTTATATGAGGGTCTGGATGGGGAAAAGGGGGGGTCCTTTTCTGTATTCTTTCATATTTTAAGTTATTTTTCTCTATTCTTTATACTTTTTGCCCATTATTCTCTATTATTTATATGTGTTACCCATGAATAAAAGGGGATATGGGGTATACAGAAAATGAGACAGCATCCCAATCATATAAGTTGCTGTTCTTCAAAGTGGATTTCATACAGCACCGTCATAAACAGTACAGGAAGACATAATGTTATAATTACATTAGATGTATGTTTCATTATAATACGTTATTCTGATTAGCTACACTGCAATCTCGCTTTATTCCTTAATCAACTTCATTACACAATAAAATTTATCATTCATGATGACACGAGGTCCCACAATAAAGTGCACAGGTAAATTAAATAAAAACTTGATAAAAATCGTGTTTTCATGATCCTAGCTAAAAAATGTAATTATAAGTATTGAATGCTTCTTTTTGTAACTTCATAGGGTTGTAAAAGCGTTGACCGTGCGCACATTTTTAGAATGAAGTGCGGAACAAAATGTACTTCGGTCAACGCTTTTACACCCCAATGAAGTTACAAAAAGAAGCATTCAATTCTTAAGTGCAACTTGGTTAACTACACTGTGTATCAGCACTTGGTGTCCACTTGATTGGTTGCTTGTCTTATGACAACATGACCTCTATTTTTCTCATTATTGGCAACCTCATTTTGGGTCATGATCTCTAAATTTTACATTTTTGGTAACATTATTTTGGGTCGCTGTCTCATTGACTGCTATAGTTCATGTCCTTTCACTCATACCTCTAAGAACTAAAATTATATAAATGACATTCTTCATACTTTTACCGTCTTCAAATCATTTACAGTTTCTGATTTCTAAATTTCTCATATCATATATCAACAAGATTTATAGATTATCTATGTTTTTGAAATCACAAAGAGAGAAAATTATCACATATAAAGATGAAAATAGCGATTATACATTAAACTATTAATTATCTGTCTACAAAATAATCTCTTCCCAATATTAAATTTTAAAAAATCACATGACAATTGTAAAAACTGATTCCAACTTTTATTTGTTGTCTCCCCTACACTACAATTGAAATTCAAGGTTGACAAAAAGTCTGTATTCTAATTATAATGATGGTATTTGTTGCTGTCAGTTTCTTTAAACATTTAAATTAATTTCTTCATACTTTTTTTTGCTAGGCCTTTATCTGTCATTTTATCTTTCTTCTTTTTGCCATGGATTTGTTCCTCCGTCAATTTATAATTGTTATGAATCCCATTGATCTTTTCATATTTTCCTACCTGGAAATACAGAAACAAATCTGCGGAGGGCATAGTTCCACCGGTAAAAAAGTTTTTAGCCATCCATTCTGTATCTGATCCCGGTTTGGTATCAAACGCATAAGCATGTTGTCTGTGACACAAGACTTGAATAAACAGGTAACCAGATGGTTTCAGCCATGATGATACTCGCTGCATTAGAATTTCATAATTTTTCATATGCTACAATGAGAAAATAATAAAATTCATCTTTCTAATAATTACTGTGGATTCATTATTATTTGTGGGATACATTGGGTGTAGGTAAACAATGAATTCAAACCAATGTCTGCTCAAGCTTGCTAATAATATGTGCAAATACTTTTGGGAAGGACGAAAGGACGGATGGTAAACGGTAACAATTTTTCTCAATCCTCGAAAATTGGTATCCACGACAATAAATGAATCGACAGTATGCCATTCATTTGTGAGGATGATATAGATTGGCCAACGTCATATTCCATATAAGGGATAACAGGAATTAACAAAACTATTGGACAGTACAACAAACCACACTAACATAAACTCCTCCTCTTGAGGGGGTTAAATCCAGTTTACCTGTCTATAACATTTTGACCTGATTCCATTTGAGAATATGTGTCTTCTCCAAAAATATTCTAAATAAATAGTGAATTTTTAACCAGAAAAGATTTTTTTTTGTGAAAATTTTAATGCATTCTGAAGTGTGCACAAAGCATAAAACGTCTGGAGTATACAATTAATGCTTATGACATTACTGTTTAGTTACCAAAAACAAAAACAGCATTTCCAAAAATTAAGGAAAATCATCTGTATTGTAGAAATTAAAAGCAGCAAGAACACTTTGAAATATTTAATCAGCAATGATATTGGTTTTAATGCTGACAAACAATTACTGTGAATTTATTATTATTCGTTGGATTCCAATTTTCGTGGATTTCAGGTGTAAACGTGAACCACAAATTTCATTATTCAACGAAGTACAAATTTTCTAGATGCTCTTATACCGACGTTGGAAAAACCATGAAATCAGTTATCCACCAAAATTGGTATCCACAAAAAATAAATGAATCCACAGTATTTCTATTGCTTTCAAACTTTTGGACCACCTAAGCAGTCTCATGGTAGCATGATTGCTTTGAAACCAAAGACTTAAGAAATTGGTATTTGTTGATATTCTGCTATTAAAGCATGTGGCATTAAAGAGTACCCGTATTATTAAAGAGCAAAAACTGATTGACTCACGAGTCAGAATAATGTGTCCGGGTCAGGTGACATATCTTCCTGCGGACTGTTACCTTGTGAACTAGCATGCTACTTTCAAGCTAAGCGTCTTGGTCTAGTACAAAGAAGGATTTATTATCACAATAGCATGTTCTCATCCTAATATGCATGTATTGTTTGCCTCTGTACATTAAACATGCATCCATCATCATCAAACTTTTTGATCTTTAGCATATCTGATACAAGTTATTCCAGAAACTTGTGTTGTGTGTATGGAAATCAGTATCATCTACTTATAGATTATAGTTTAAAGTAATGAAAGCTACTCTAAACTCAGAAACTTTTGCATTCATTTATTATTGTAAGTTTTTAAAATGCAAGATTGCTGTTAATTCAGAAATTATTATTAATGTGTATAATGCAACTGGGTGACTATGGCAATACTAAGAATTCACATTCTGATATCTAATACATATATATCTGTATGCAGATTTTCATGAAATCGCAATAATTAATCTCTTTTTTTTTCCATTCTTCAAAACTTTTTGCAATAATAAAATTATCACAAAAATATCTGAATTTACAGAACTTGGACAGCATCTTGTTGAAATAAAAACCTCACACATTTTTATTGATACCAGGTCAAGGGAGATAACCAGAGTTACTAGGACAAGGGAGATAACCAGTCTCACCAGGACAAGGGAGATAACCTTACTTACCTCAAACATTTCTATTGACATGATTCTGTCAAATCTTTTGTTTGTAGAAAAGAAGTTGGCATCAGCGGTTATACAGTCTAATCTGTCAGCCACGCCCATCTTCAGGGCCTCCGACTCAATGTGTCGTCTCTGTGTGTTAGAATTAGATACACATGTGACCTGACAGTGGGGGTACGTCTGTAATATGTATAGTCCTAAAGACCCCCATCCACATCCCAAATCCTGCAAAACAAAACTTCTAAAATATACAAAGACTAAGCGAATTCAGAAGTCAAATAAATATTGTTTTTGAGCATGGAATAATTTCAATTATTTTGCAATCATTGTATGGGAAAATATCCTGCATGAAAATTATGGTATCGGTTAAAAAAAATTTAAATATATTAATATTATATAATGGTGAAACGTCATTATTATTTTGTTAGGAGAAATATGCAATTTCCAATAAAACTTATAGAATTGAATTTAATAAGAAGTTTTTTTAATTAATAAGAAGCTTATTTGGAATGCATTATAATAAGTCCATATAAAAATAAACATTTGTTATTCATTATTAGTTCCAAGTTGGTGTCAGCACAACTCCATAACAAACTACCTTAAACAAAAACTTTAACCTGATACAAGATGGACACGCAGACTGAAAAATGTAAGGTTCCACTGCTATCATAGGGCGGACATAAAAACTTACCAATACTGACAAACCGTCTGTTATTTTAGCCGATTCACAATAAATCTTCAAAGATTCTACTTCAGCTAAAAATATAGAATATTATTTTGATATTACTCATATTACAGACCAATGTTAAATGTCTTTTATTCAAGAAAGCGATATGAACAATATCACTTAGCCTTCTGGAACACCTGAGATCACCCCCAGTTTTTAGTGTTGCTCAGTCGTTAGTTTCCTATGTTGTATTTTGTAGACTGTTGTTGTATGTCTTTTGATTGTTTTTCATTTTTTGCCATAGCGCTGACTGTTTGTCTTCAACTTAATAATGTTATTATGTAATTTTGATATTTTATCTGCAAGTGCACCCAACTTAAAAACACCATGGAAAGATTATTGTTGAATTAACACATCCCCATGTTTGGTTGTACACCTACCATTCTTTCCAAAGGTTTAATTAAAAGAATTTCTATTGTCCATAATAGTTTCACAAATTGTCTATCAAGAAAGATTTTGCAACTGGCTAATATATTTCAGCGAATTACAATCTTTAAGGTTTAACTAAAATAATTTCTATTGTCCATAACTGTTTCACAAATTGTGTCATGACTGGATAATACTATTTCATCATATTACCTTCCTCCAAAGTTTTAGTCAATTCTGTCCAGTAGCAGCAACTGTACTTCAATCGCTTTCCAAGAACCTACAATATATTACAAGTGAGCAAGGTTTAAGGAGAAAAACATTTAAAAACCTATAGTAACATTACCAGTATGTTTCATAAGAATTTGTAATTTTGATAAGCAGACAACAATCGCATATTAAAAAAATAACAAAAAGAAGCATTAAATTTTCAAAAAATAATAACAAGAGTGCACACTCTGAAATTTTACGCCTGTTTTACTGACAATTGATTTTATGTTGAAAGTCTTAAAGATAAAGGTTTTACTACAAGTAACAAATATTCTTAACATTTTTAAAGATCCATGACAATGAGGTCAAGGTCAGATAAATCCAGTCAGACAGACATGCTCACCATTACAATTGTTCCATACACCAAATATAGTTGACCTATATTGCTGATGGTAATTGAAAAACAGACCAAAACACAATAAATTGCTTCGCCGAGCGCAGCAGGATATGACCGCAGAGGTCCAACCCTGAACAGTTGGGGCAAAAATGGACACAATATTCACGCTTGATACAGGTCTGAATTTGGATTGTAATTAAATATTTGACACATAATAGGTTTCTGACACAGAATAACTGAAGTCAAAGAACTTAGAATTAATTATATGATTTGAATTCATATTCAATTTTTTGCTTTTGTGTAATACACTATGCAGTTGCGAATTGACCCCCCCCCCCCCCAAAAAAAAAAAAATTTTACCCCCCTTTTTTTCTGCTTTAGTGCAATATGCTATGCTGTTGCGAATTGACCCCCCCCCCCAAAAAAACAAAAACAAAAAAAAAAAATTTTTACCACCCCCCCCCCCCCCCCCCCCTTTTTTTTTTGCAAACAAAAAAATATTTGAAGAAATTTTCTTTTTATAATTTCTGAAATCTGAAATAAGAAAAAATTGTCCACCTCTCACAATTTCTTTTTTACCCCCCCCTCCAATTTTTTTTTCACCTCCCCCTTTTTCCAAAAAAAAAAAAATTCTTTCCCTCAAGATATGGTCATAATCTCAATTTAAATTTCCAATGGAGTTTGCAACCATAATTACCCAATTTAAATACATCATAAAAGTCTTAAAATAGAAAATGACATACATAATCATGGCTAAAATTAATATTCCTTAATCATACAAGAGGCTCTCAAGAGCCTGAATCGCTCACCTGTATTTCAGAGGAGAAGATTTTTAAATGTTAGCAAACTTGGATGAACAAATTGTGTAAAATTGTCCTTAAAGGGCAATAAGTCTTTAAGGGGTCAGTTGACAAATTTGGTCATTCAACTTTTCTGTAGATCTTACTTTGCTGAACATTATTGCTGTTTACAGTTTATATCTATCTATAATAATATTTAAGATAATAACAAAAAACTGCAAAATTTCCTCAAAACTAACAATTTAGTGGCAGCAACCCAACAATGGGTTGTTCGATTTGTCTGAAAATTTCAGGGCTGATAGATCTTGACCAATTGAACAGTTTTACCCATGTCAGATTTGCTCTAAAAGCTTTAGTTTTGGAGATATAAGCCAAAAACTGAATTTGACCCCTATGTTCTATTTTTAGCCATGGCGGCCATGTTTGTCGATAGATTAAAACTTCGGATAATACAATTTATAAACTAGATATCCTAAGGAACATTTAGATGAAGTTTGAAGGTATTTGGCCCTGTAGTTTCAGAGGAGAAGATTTTTAAATGTTAGCAAACTTGATGAACAAATTGTGTAAAATTGTCTTTAAAGGGCAATAACTTCTTAAGGGGTCAATTGACAATTTTGGTCATATAAACTTTTTTGTAGATCTTACTTTTACTGAACATTATTGCTGTTTACAGTTTATATCTATCTATAACAATATTCAAGATAATAACAAAAAAACTGCAAAATTTCCTTAAAACTACCAATTTAGTGGCAGCAACCCAACAATGAGCTGTTCGATTCGTCTGATAATTTCAGGGCTGATAGATCTTGACCAATTGAACAATTTTACCCCATGTCAGATTTGCTTTAAAAGCTTTAGTTTTGGAGATATAAGCAAAAAACTGCATTTGACCCCTATGTTCTATTTTTAGCCATGGCGGCCATGTTTGTCGATGGATCAAAACTTCGGATACAATTTATAAACTAGATACCCTAAGGAACATTTAGTTAAAGTTTGAAGGTATTTGGCCCAGTAGTTTCAGAGGAGAAGATTTTTGAAATAGTTTACGACGACAGACGACGACGTCGACAGACGACGACAGACGCCAAGAGATGGCATAAGCTCACATGGGGCCCATTGGGCCCCGGTGAGCTAAAAATTGAGAATGGAAATGGGGAATGTGTCAAAGAGACAACGACCCGACCATAGAGCAGACAACAGCCGAAGGCCACCAATGGGTCTTCAATGCAGCATAAACTCCCGCACCCGGAGGCATCCTTCAGCTGGCCCCTAAACAAATATGTATACTAGTCAGCATTTTTAAATAGTAACTTCTAAAAATAAATTGACAGCTAATCACCTCAAGACAATACAACATTTCTTCATACATAATTTAAAAGCAGTGTAAGGGAGGTAATCCATATTTAACATTGTACTTTTTTTTAATTGTCCATTAACCAGGAAACCCTTGTTTTTCCCCCTTTTTTTGCCCCTTATTCCTACACGGTTTGAGCCATAACCCCCCCTTCCAAAAGCCAATCCTAAAAATCCCTTTGTGGTATGGAAACTTGTGGTATAATTCCAGAGAGATCCATACAACGTTCCACAAGTTATTATCTGGAAACTAGAAAAATGCTTATTTGGGCCCCTTTTTGGCCCCTAATTCATAAACTGTTAGGACTATAACCCCCAAAATCAATCCCAACCTTCCTTTTGTGGTTATAAACCTTGTCTTTAAATTTCATAGATTTCTATTTACATTTACTAAAGTTATTGTCCGGAAACCAAATGTCTTCAGACGACGCTGACGACGACATAATACGAATATACGACCGCAACATCTTTTGCGGTCGTATAAAAACTTCACATTGACCAATGAACAATGATAATGAGGTCAAGGTCAGATGAAATCTGCCAGACTGACATGTAGCCCTTACAATCATTCCATATACCACATGTAGTTGACCTACTGCTTATAGTAACTGAAAAACAGACCTAATCAGGTAACTTTAACCTTGATCACTGATCGATATAATGAGGTCAAGGTCAGGTGAACTCTTGTTTGATGTACATGAAATGTTGCAAGGAACCCATATACCAAATATAGTTATCCTATTACTCAAAATGAGTGAGAAATTCACATGACAAAAAACTCCAAATTTTTTAGGCAGTCGCTAAACCATGAAAATGAGGTCAAGGACAATGGACCACATATGACAGACGGAAACTTCGTACCATAAGGTATCGGCATACAAGGTATGAAGCATCCAGGTCTTCTACCATCTGAAATATAAAGCCCTTCAAATAGTTTAAACTGCTGCCACCACCGCTGCCAGATAGTAATCCCTATGTTTTTCGTAAATTGCGACTACAGATGAGACAAAAATGAATATCATCTGTTTCAGATCAATACACACATATTAATTTCCAGCAGTTAAATTTTTCATTAGAGATACAAGTTTTGAGAAAATATATAAAATAAAAGCTGTGCCATGAGCGCATGATACGACTGTCACTTTTTCAAAGAATAATGTTCCATAACTCCTCAATGTCATATTAGAAATTTATAAAAAAACTAAAGGGAGATTATTTTAATAGATATAAAGCAGTCACCAAAGTTTCATGAAAACTGATCAAAGCACTTTAAAGATATTGTCTGAAAACTGGAAAATCCCCCTTTGTTTTTTGAATAAAACCCCATAACTCGGAAGCGAATAATCTAAAATTTATATAAATCGAAAGGGAGCTTACGTCAATAGATATAAATAATTCATCAAAGTTCCATGAAAACTGCTCAAAGCATTTTGAGCTAATGTCCGAACACTGGAAAATCCCCCTTTTTTAATGAATAACACCCCATAACTCAGAAACATAAAATTGAAAATTTATGAAAATTGAAAAGGAGCTCACATCAATAGATATAAACAATTCACCAAAGTTTCATGCAAATTGGTTAAAGCGTTTTTGAGTTTTTGTCCGATATGTTGACGACGTACGGACAGACTGACGGACAGACATAAGGACAACTGTATACCACAATACGTCCCGTAAACGGGCGTATAAAAACAAAAACACATACTGTTTTGAAAAATTCTGTTGGAACTTCATAATGTTGTTCATTAGCCTTGTCTGTTTCTATGGCAACAGGAGAATTTTGTAATCTTTTGATGAATAGTTTCTTGAAGTGGTTTTGTTTTTCCAAGTCTCCCCCACAATCCAGCTTCTTTGCCCATGCTGCTAAATTTGCTCTAACACCTGAAAAGATATAACTTATAGATTACCATGTAATTACTGTGGTTTCATTTATTTTTCGTGGATACCAATTTTCTTGGATTGATAAAAAATTGGTATTCTAATGGATAACTGATTTCCTGGTCTGCCAAAGTCTGCATACCAGTCTATAGAAAAATTTGTACTTCGTTGAACTTGTAAATTCAAGATTCAGCTTTACCCATGAAATCCACGAATATTGGTATCTAATGAATAATAATGAAGCCACAGTACACTACTAGCCTGTCTACTCTAAAGTGGTGAGTCTGAAACAATTGTGGCAAGGTGTGTTTGATTCCTATTTCAACTGACTAGGATTGCCATGGCGTTGTTAGTTTATGTTGGACTTATGAGTTTGAATGTCCCTTTGGTATCTTTAGCCTCTTTTTTACAAGCATGTAGGTTACTTTAAACAGCAATAAGGAATCAATCAACTTAGAGATTATTCACATTTTCCACATGTGCCCTGGTATCATCAGCAGACTCCCATATTAGTCTGAGGGCTTTAGCTCAAAGTCCTCACTTGGATGGATTGATGATACCAGGGCTTCAGAGATCTCAAATGACATGTAATGATCTATTAATCACATTTTGGCCTCTGAAATTGGTAAGAGAAAATAGAATTAAACAGTTGAATTAAGCTAATTCATCTATTGAATTTGTTTTGGTTTTTTTTGGTTTGAAGATTCAACATAATTATTAATATTTAAAAAGGCAATGGCTACAATACCCAATTCTGAGGCTAATTGCAGAAATGTATTTCTGGATAGGGACCCCATTTCATAAGGAAATTGCAGTTTAAAACAATAATATCATTGTACCTGAAAAGTTTAGCGTTAGCAATTTTTGTATTGTTTTAATTATACAACAGGCCATGTGGATTTTTCTTTTTCAAATTGCCCACTGTGGGCAGAAGTACGTTGTGCACGCCCGATGCCCACTCCATCGCGTGGACGGCTTTGGCATTGGTAGCGTGGATCAGAGGTCCACGCAGTCTCGTGGACATCCGTGGGCACAATATCGGGCGCTTAATCATTAATGGCTGTTAATTTTACAATTTTATATCTATGATAAAAGTTCACTATGATTACATTGAAGGCAAAATCATTCATACACCAATAAGTATCATTGGAGGAAGGGCATGTTATAATAAACATAACTTAATTTAATTTTATACTAAAAATAGGATTCTTTACTATAATTTTATTATAATACACTGGAAGTTGAGATTACCATGCCAAAACAATGCTCGTTTGTTTATTCATTGGTCACACAACGTAAAAGGCTTTATTTCTGTGTCATTTGGTCTCTTGTGAAGAGTTGTCTCATTGCCAATCATACCACATCTTCTTTTTTATATTTAAAGCTTCTCACTGACCCCTATAAAACATGTAATAGACATAGATCGATTCACTTCTGCCCACTTGTATTCCCGTGGACACGTGTGGACAAATGCCCAGGGCAATGCGTGGACAACGTGGGCACATGTGGACAGGGAGTGCCCACTCAATGGCCACGCCCACGGTGGGCCTGTGGAAATAGCAAAATTCATGTGAGCTGTAGTGTAGGTAAATTATTCAGTTAGTCCGGGGACACAATTATCGTCCTTTGATTTTTGTTGTCTACAAATAAAGTCCCTAGTGTGGACAGTGTAAAACTTGCAAATTTTTTCCATACATATTCTTAATTTATTTCTTTATATTTTATGCGTAAAATAGTAAGAAGGGGGTTGATATTACATGTAAAAAAATTTGGGGCATGAATTTTTAGGTAAAGTAGTGATTTGGTCCAGTTTGAAAAGGTCAAAATTTAGTATGTCTGAAGCTGTACAACTGAATTAAAGACCCTCCTTAACAAAAAATTGTCCATATTTTGATTTAGAGGCAATAGACATTTCTATAATTTTGATATAATTTGTCCCAAAAGTAGTCTACTTCACTGTAAAAATCTTTTTTGGTTAGAGCAATTGCAACTTTTTTAATTTGCGTTTATAAATGTCTAAAAGAAATGCTCTCAAAAAATCTCAATTGACATCAAGAGCAATTTATTGAACCTATTGTCTAGGAAAAATTTTGAATTTGCCCTTTTTCAGAGACACTGGAAGACTCATGGCACCAGGATACAGGTGAAAACTGGTCATATGCTGAAATCCTGGGTTATTTGATGATGATATAGTATTGTTACTTTTTGCAGGTAATTATAACCAGTGCTATTTAAAAAATTCGTAAGGGTTCCGCGGAACCCAGTGTCTCGCCTACTTTTTCTGTTAATCGCAGGCTCAACAAAAATGAGGAAGTAAATCAATAAAAATATTCCTCTTGATACTATCTTTTGATTGTAAGAAGCTTCTGTCCAAGTTTGGTAAAAATCCAGGATAGTTTATGAATCTAATAAATGTTTAAAAACTTTAACTGCAGACTGAATGTAATGTTAACTGGAAGAAAACAAAATTTCCTTCTAGATACTAGCATTTGATCATAAACAAGCTTCTGTCCAAGTTTGGTACAAATCCAAAATAGTATAAGAAAGTTATTAAAATTTTAAAAACTTTAACCACAGAGTGAATGTGTTGTTTCCTGGCAGAAAATCTAAGTCCATTTAAAAGTAAAATACTGAAAAAATGGATTTATTTTTTTACAAAATTTCCTTCTAGATACTAGCTTTTGATCATAAACAAGCTTCTGTCCAAGTTTGGTACAAATCCAAAATAGTATAAGAAAGTTATTAAAATTTTAAAAACTTTAACCACAGAGTGAATGTGTTGTTTCCTGGCAGAAAATCTAAGTCCATTTAAAAGTAAAATAAGGAAAAAATGGATTTTTTTTTTACAAAATTTACTTCTGGATACTATCTTATGATCATAAACAAGCTTCTGTCCAAGTTTGGTAGAAACCCAGGATAGTTTAAGAAAGTTATTAAAATTTTAAAAACTTTAACCACAGAGTGAATGTAATATTTCCCGGCAGAAAAACTAAGTCCATTTATAAGTAAAATACGGAAAAAATGGAATTTTATTTTTACAAAATTTACTTCTGGATACTATCTTATGATCATAAACAAGCTTCTGTCCAAGTTTGGTAGAAATCCAGGATAGTTTAAGAAAGTTATTAAAATTTCAAAAACTTTAACCACAGAGTGAATATTTGTGGACGCCGCCGACGACAACGACGACAACGACGACGACGACGCCGACGGAATGTAGGATCGCTATGTCTCGCTTTTTCGACTAAAGTCGAAGGCTCGACAAAAAGCAAAAACGCCAGACTGTTTGCGAAAGGATAATTGCAAAAAAAAAAATTTTTTTTAGACCTAGCTGTGGAACCTTTGCCCTTATGATATTTTTTGACAATTTGTAGACCTAGTTTAGACCCTACATGTATTAGTCACAGGTTTTAAATAGATATAAGAAGATGTGGTATGAGTGCCAATGAGACAACTCTCCATCCAAGTCAAAATTTATTAAAGTAAACCATTATAGGTTTATTTTAAAGTCCATCAGAAGGAACTGACAAATATGACAGTGTTTTTAACACACCACAAAATTTACACTGAGTGCATACATATAAAAGCGTAAAGGTTAGTCCCTTTGGGGATTCTGAGACCAGAGTGATTTTATGATTTGGCCGCCTCAGAAAAGGATTATGTAACGGCATGTCAGGAAATTTATCAATAAGTTTTAAATGCAATTCACATTAATTCAATTTTTAAAAAAATCCATGGTCTTGAGATTCCTTTAGAATTAAAAAATTAGTTTTCTAGCTGCAAAGGTTTGTCTCTACTCAACAGCTCAAGAGAGAGAAAACGACCAATTTCTCGCTTCTGTCAGATGAACCTTAACCCAATTTGTGTCATCTAGCTGCTGTTAAAAAAATATGTGGGCGCCTGCTTAATAGATTTATTTCAATTGATTTCTGGACATAAATCACAATAATATATAAACTGTCCTAACTGCCTTCCACTGGAGACAGATATCATAACAGAGCCAGAGGATATAACTGTACAAACACGTATGTACAGGTGTTTTTAAGTTTAGTGTGTACGTGAAAAAATGCACCTTCTCTCAAAGCGTCATCACTGGCCATGCTGTAACAGTTATAAGTCACACCTGAGCACTGTCAGGTCTCTGAATTGTGGAAAACAGTTGTAAAAAGTTCAGATCCAAAACAATTTTTTTGGAGGACTTTGAACTTTTGTAATTTTCAGGTCAATTCCGGATTGACAAGAAAGTAACACGGATATTCAAGTACTCGTACGTCTTCAGTCCAAGCCATTTTATTTAACATTGCATGTGTGAGCAACCATTTGAGTGTCCCGGGGATATAAATTTGTACTCCAAGACTCTTTTAAAAATTTTCGTGTATATGACTCAGTTTATTTTTTTTTTCATTTTCTTCAGGCGAACTTTTCTCTAGCTGGGCCCTTTTTCGAAAAATATTTGTTTATGAGTTGGCAGTGGCTATCATTTGCCGGCTCTGGAAAAATAGCCTCTTAGGTGCTATTTTACCGGCTCCGGCAAAAAAGCCTCCTTTATGTAGAGTTTTGCTATTTTGCCGGTCTTAATTCAGATTTTCAGTATATTAATTAAGAATAGAGAAATATAGAAAAATACAGTTTGATAAAAAAAAAAACTAAAAAATATGCCTTCTTTAAAACATACATACATAAGTAAAGCATGCATATCAAAATTGATATTCTTTACTTTTATAAGACGTCTAAAAAAAATGTCTTCAGTACATTAGCAAAGCATGCATATTAAAATCGACATCATGGCATAACTAAAACTTGAATTTCAATAAAAATATCCTATAAGTTTTTAAATCAAAAGTAACGTTCAACAACCTCAAAATGCTTTACAGGTTTTACAATACCAGTGGCTTTCTTTTGGTGCATTTTTTAGTCTTGCACAAGGAAGATGTTGACAATGCAGACATGAACTGTGTATAACACTTATATAAAAATAAGGAGATGTGGTATGGTTTTTTTTGCGTCTGCATCACTTTTGCAAAAATTGCAGATCAACTTTCATAGAATAAATGCTGTCAATAGATTTCCATGCATCGTCTGTACAATACTCGTATTAATTTCTTTATTAATTTTATATTCACTAGTTTGTCTGGACATGAACTTGACACCATTTCAGGGCGGGTTTCTACGTGTTCCTCCTCTATCACCAGACCGTCATCAACCGCTGACTTTAGTTTCAATAAAAATTTAATTTGATATAGTCTGGAAAAAAAAATCTGAAATAAGACCGGCAAAATAGCATGACTCTACATAAATCGCTATTTTGCCGGAGCAGTTTGAACATCATGAACTACACACATATAGAATAGAATAGAATATTTTTATTTCCCAAATTACAGGGCCCATAAAGGGCATAAAATCAGATACAATTGATTTACATAATTGGAAATAACAACAATAATAGTCACTTGTAAATATATATTAAGTATATTAGCATTGTCAGAATCAGAGCCAAAAACCAAATATATATTGTGAATAAAAGAATAAAATTACATTATATGCATTCATTCTCAAATCATTTACTTGACTTAGTGTCAATATTCATACCTGATCTCCTTAATTCAAAACAGTCACAAATATAACAGCCCAGTTTTTCCATAAGAGTTACATTTTCTTGAGTCAAGAGCCATAAAATTTTAGAAGATTTATTTAAATTTTTAAAATTATAACAATTGTCAGAAATGTATTGAAAAAAGTCTTCCCTTTGAGTATCATAAAGAGGGCATTGAAACAAAAAATGAAGCTCATCTTCAACTTTACCAAGTGAGCAATTTGAACAACGACGCTCAGATCTTTCTATATATATTTTTGAATATCTGTCTGTCTCAATTTTTAAAGAGTGAGCGCTTATTCTTAATTTACAAATTGACTGTCTTTTTTTTAAATCCTGTAGTTCTAAATATTTTTCTTTTTTAAAACAATTTTTTATAGAAAAATAAGTACCAATCTTCCCTTTTTCAGAGTTAATTGTTTGATACTTCAGTCTATTCCAAAATGTTATATGTATATACAAATTTAGACTTGTTTATACATATATGAATATATATATAAATATACGTTCAACAGTGTTTCCCTCCTTCTCAGGTACACCCAACATGAAAAATTTCCTAAAATAAATTGGCAATGTATTGGATATTTAACTTACCAAGGGACGGTGCTGATGGCAAGGTGGGAGATAGACTCACATGGTATACATGAATGTAAAATAGATAATTTCGTTATGATATTATGAGCAGATGCACAAACCTGGTATGTCATCCTCGTGCCTGATGCAGAAGGGGTTGATACATATTGTAAGATGATCCGACTGCAAGAGGCACCAATTGACGATGCTAAATGACATGCCCAGTTTTTCATAGTACGAAATAGAAAAATACTTAAATATAATATATATGGGAATAATTCTGATTGTCAATGATAAAATAAATACAAGAAGGTACATTATTATTATTACAGGTGAGTCTAGGTAACCACCATGCCATCCTGGTGCCTGATGCAGATAAGCTAGATCTATAGTTTGCCTTCATCAATCAGATCACAAACAGATATTAATATATCAACATTCCCTGCATTAAGTAGCCAGATTAGTTTTTGGCTAGGAATAAAGTGCTTAAAGTTAGGACACAGTGAGTTGATCATGGAGTACAAGCAGTGGATTTCTAGTTAAAGATGATGTACATGAAAATAAAAAATGTTTTTCATCATCAATTTCATTTGAGGTGCACCTGAGACATATTCTGTTTTGTCGAGAAACACCATTATATCTACCTTGTTCAATTCTAAGTCTATGTGAGGAAATACGCAATCGAGTAAAATTTCTCCTCCGCTCAGGGGATCGCAATAAAATAAGATATCTTTCAAGACCAAAATTGGTCTTGAAAGCGCTATAGTTACAGAGCTTTCCACCAGAACAGTTGTGCATTTGGAGTCTCCACTGATCCTCATAGTACTGGTACAGATTTTTTTGTATAAAAATTTAAAGCTGTAATTACTTGTAGAAGCTAAATTGCCAACCCCTTTAATATTCTTTAGAAAGAAGTTTAAGGATCCATACCGTGAAGGAATTTTTGACTCATGTAGTAATTTTTACTCTAAATATGCCTCCTTTAGTAGTGGAAAAGATGATCCCAAATTTTCAAGCCTGTGTAATATAAAGAGGTAAATCTTGATATGTATATATATATAACATATAACATATATATAGTTTTTATTATACAATCATTCAGAGACTTTATATATAACTGAATATAGTTAAGATCCATTTTGTTACATCTGGTGGTCCGTTTATTTGGCAATCGCAAATGGCAGTCGGCAGGGTTTAAGAACATCCGTTGTTCGACCTGCTAGTCAAATGCGTTTTGTTTAAATATACTTTTTCACTTTTTAGGTCTTTTGGAAAATGTTGTTTGTGCTGTATGTAGACCCCTCTACCAAGAAATTTGTTTTGCATGCACACGTATAAAAATTGCGGTTTTTATCCAACGCAATCATAGGTATGAACGTTGTTTTCAATTTAGACTTGTTTATAACTGAATATAGTACACTACACGGTGGAGTAGATACCATTGTGCAAGTCAAAATATGAATTTTCTTTCTGAAAACTCCTTCATCCCCAACCCCCTATTGCATAACTGTTGTCACTTGGATGTGTAAATGAAACTAGATTTCACATATCAATTTCTCAACCAAAATAAAACTTCTGGTCAGTATAGTTAAAACTGTCAGAAAATTTACTAATAAATAAAAATGGAAAATTTGAAAGCTTTGGAAAAAATTAACTAATCCCTTGCCCAGACACACAAAAAAATGATTTAAAAAAACACCATTTAAGGGCAACAGCTCCTATAGAGAGACAACTGACAATTTTTTCCCTGCTGACCCTTTTAGCAGATCTTGTCTAACTTGCTTATCATTTATGCTCTTTAACGTTTTAATCTATCTGTATAAACTGTTTTCAAGATAATACGCAAGAACGCAAAACAAAATGATATAAATTATTAAAAAAGGGCAATAACTTCTATCAGAAAATGATTAAAAATTTCAGATATGTTGTCATATTTGTAAATCTTGTCTTGCTGGCCATTTTTGCTATCTATCTATTATTGTTTTCAAGATACATGTAATAGGCAAAACTAAAAAACAATGGTAAAATCGTCATTTAAGGACAAGTAATCTAAAAGGAGTCGACTGACGATTTCGGCCATGTTGGATTATTTGTCTTGCTGATCATTGTTTTTCATACAATGGCAAAATTCGTCGTTTAAGGGCGATAACTCCTATAAGTCGTCTGAGCGATTTGATGTACACTGACAGTCGGTAGATCTCAACATTCTGAACATGTTTGCCTCTGTCAGATTTTCTGTATTTTAAAGCAGTTTTTAAGATGATAAACAAAAATGTATGTTAACCCTATGTTGTAGATCTTGTTTTGCTGATCATTTTTCTGCATATAGTTTTTCTAAATCTGTTCTAGTTTTTTTAGATAAAAGGCAAAAATTAAAAAAAAAATTGGTAAAATTCATCTGATGAGCTAACTAAGGTAGATCTTGAAACCCCGAGCATATTCGTTTGTCTGCTTTTCCATAGGCGGATCCTGGGGGACCCGGTCCCCCGTTTCGTGGGAAAAATTTGATTGATTATATAAGGAACCACTGAAGCATGACTGTAGCGGGACCCCTCTTATGGCAGTCTGTGGCCCCCCCCTTTTAAAAAGTTCTGGATCCACCACTGTAATTTTATGGTTTTAACTCTTACGTCATTTGGTCTCTGGTGGAGAGTTGTCTCATTGACAATCATACCACATCTTATTTTCATATTCAAGAAATAAGACAACTAACAAATTTACCCTTTAGTCCTATAATATGAGACTTCGTAGGTCAACATCGTTTGCTTTCAATGTTTTTTTATCATTTTTTTAAGTTTACTATATATCAATGCTGAGTTCTATCATATAATATATGTTTGTGCTTCAGCATTGAAAGTAAAAAAAAGTATCCGATAAAAAACGTTGAAAGCAAACGGTATGATTGAAACACGCCTTTTAGAATTCACAAAGGCGTGTCTTATTGTGAGAAGTCGCCCAGCGGATCTTTTCACAAAAAATCCTAAGAGTAAAAATACTCGTTGATCATACACATTTCAGTATAACATACGATCAGTTTAATCGTAAGATTTTTTGTGAAAAGAGTCGCAGGACTTTTAAGGTTAAGGGAGCTACCATTTGATTTTTATGGGGGGGGGGGGGGGGGGGGGCTAGGATGGAAAATTGTGTCCTGCATTTTTTTCTAGTTGTAATCTCTGTCCTGCCTTTTTATTTTTCACCCTATTCGGTCCTGCCTTTTTTTTTATTAGTTTATCCTGACTTTTTTTACCTAAATTGTCATCCTGACTTTTTTTTTTGGCAAAGTGTCTCATCCTGCCTTTTTTTTTTAATCAAAACTCCTGTTCAAAGCCAAAATGACTTGTTTGTTGTAGAGGAGTTGTGACACCGTATGACGGTATGTTGAAAAAATTAAAGAGACTATTTTACTCAGTTTTTATTGTACTCAAATTAATAAAACAGCATGCATAGCAACAGATGGACATAAATTATCAATTCTGAAAAAAATCCTCCTACTTGCCCACACCCCCAACCCCCCTTTTCACCGACCAATCATTATCCTGTTCCATCACACGCCGCGTCATAAAAAAAATGAAGTTGTCCTGAAACACAACAGAAGGTGTTAGGATAACACGAGCATGAGTTATTTGTCCAAAGATGGCCTTCGGAGACGATGCAACCACCATCTGTCAAGGTTCTCTTCTCAGTTTGTACGGCCTGGATTATCAACTCTTTTCGATTGAAAATATTTCTCCATATAAAACACAACAGCACAAATACGACAAAAAAAGATACAACTTTTCGACGAGTCTTTCTCATCTCGCAAAATTTACCAAAAATGCAACTATAGAAGGCAGTACAGTCTTCAATCAATAACAGACATTTGTCTATAACGAAAAATATGTCGAACTCGCTAATCGTCCTGAATCTAGCGATAAACAATGGTCTAGATGGAGTCTGTCATTGGAGTTTCCTTGATCATCGTATATTAAAACCCTATAAAAATTATAAAAAAATAATAACTTTTTTATTAAAGCATAAATTACCTCCGTAAGTGGTTCAAACGCATAATAACAATTACGATTACATGTTACAATACTAGTATAATCATGACATTTACATAGAAATAGAATAAAATATTGAACACACAACACAATTAATGACCTCAAGTGACCCCTATCCTAGATTTCACTTGCTGGCTAGTAGTTGGATTTAGAATATATTGTATTTTATTATCAGAAACAAAATCTTTGTATTGGGTTTTTATAAATCGTTAAAAAAGACTTGTCTTTTATCAATGTTTATTTTACATAATAAAAAGAAATGGGATTCATCGTCCAGAACTTAGCACTTGTTACACAGTCTTTGAGGGCGTGGAATATATCTTCCAGTTTCAATAGCGAGGGAATGATCACTAATCCGAAATTTGCAAATAAGTTTTATTGTATCAAGATTAGGCTATGTCAGTTTTTATATGTATAAACAAAAGGAGTTTACAATTTTGATCAAGAGATGATATCTTATCGTCATATATTTCTTTGTATCTTTTTTCAAATTCATTTTTATAGTTATTTCTACTAAGATTCTCACAGGCTCTGTATTTGTTTTTAGATTCATCTTTGAGTTGGCTAATAGTATTAACGGACCTAATCTAATTTACTTGTGAGTACCATGATTATGTACCTTGATCATGAAGTGACTTTGAAAGAGAATGACACTCTTTAAGTAAATCAGATGAGTTTTCATTCAAAAGTCGGTCTTCGTACAAAAGTGAGTGTGCGGCAATATAACAACAAAGGGTGAATCTTCCTAATTCAGATCCAGAGGCAATGTTACTAGCACATTTCTCTATTCCAAGTGTAACTTTACAAAGAATATTGTGAATTTGTCAAGAGGACTTTTATCTATAAAATTCAGTTTATCAAAAGGAGACTTTTTTTCTGGCTCTAGTATACTTTATAGAATGATCTGTAAACATCCATATACCAAATTCGAAAAATAAAGTCCAATACTTTAGTAAAGTATAATTTATGTCCGCATGTGCAGGCGTACAATATTTGGATATCTTTGTTCATTGTGTTCACTGAATATTTTTACCACATTGTACTTAACCTAGTATGCTTGTCTTACCTTGTTTTGGGTGAATTTGGTTAGGTAAGCATAGACGTGATGAAACATGTGGCAATATAAACTGAGAGTGTAGACAGGGGGTCTTTGATTCCCTCTTCCCCCTTTACTCCCAATTCCTCCCTTTCTTCCACTTCTCTCCCCCTCAAGTTACTCCCAATCCCCCCCTTTATTCCCAGACACAAATCGGTCCAAGAAACATTTCTAGCATACCCTTATTTGTTATTCCCCTCCAAGTTCTCACGGTTCCTGTCCATTGACTCACTCCCCCCCCCCCCCCCCGACCCTGCTTCCCCCTTATCCAAACCCCTCATAAATAGTTCAATCGTGGGGCTCAGAATAATCGCAAGTAAGGTTTACTGTAAACTTCAATGGTATCATTAAATGGGATTTACTCTCGAGGAAAAAACAATTGTTGATGCTTGGTTAACTCGATCAAGTGTTGTAATGACTGGTGTATTGTAGCAGCTCGTTGTATTTCATACGGGGACCAGGAGGATTTCGAAAATGAATATCTTGGCCTAATATGAACTGAAAATCAATATTTATATATTATTATCTTGCCGAGTAGGAACCAACAAAAATATATTATAATTTTATCCAGGGTAAATTGAAAATTATTATTAATGATCATGCATTCATCCTAAGAAAATGTAGGATATAATTGTGTACAAAAATCGAAAATAAATAAATCAATATTCCGACCGCCAATATGTTTCTTGTTCACCGAAAATCAAAGTCGTCACCAATACAATAAAATGTTCATTTATAAGTTGGATTATATCACCCTATTCATCCGGCCACTGGACAAAATTGTGGACAATCTATAACAATCAATCGATCTCTTCCACTCAACTTGATAAATCTGATTTATTGTGATAAAGATGATAAATGTGATGAATGTATGTTTACCTTTTGTAGCTCTACAATTAATTTACGTCCATTTCACATACGCAAACGTTGTTTTTAATATATATTATTGCATAATAAATGTCGCAGTAGTTTTCAATTTATGTTACATCCTGTTAATATATAGAAAAAATAGTCGTAAGGAGAAAAATCATCAGTGCATTGAAAATTTTAATGTGCAAATAGTGCAGAATAAAGGAAAAAAAATATAGAGAAAATGGGGTGCTAAAATATAAAGAATAGAGAAAATAGTCTAAAAGTTAAGGAAAAAATAATGAAAGTCCCCAAATGTAGATCCCCCTTTTTGGCAGACTGCATCACAAAGACCAGAATTGAGGGTGTGGATGGGGGTTTACAGAATAGAGAATAATAGGCAAAAAATATAAAGAATAGAGAAAGATGGGCATACATACAGTATGAAGAATAGAGAATAAAGAAGTGCTAAAATATAAAGATTAGAGAATAATGGGCATACAGTATGAAGAATAGAGAATAATGGGCATACAGTATGAAGAATAGAGAATAACGAGGTGCTAAATTATAAAGAATAGAGAAAAATAGGCAAAAAGTGTAAAGAAATGAGAATAATGGGCAAAAAGTGTAAAGAAAAGAGAAAAATGGGCAAAAAGTATAAAGAATACAGGAAAATGGGCAAAAAGTGTAAATAAATGAGAATAATGGGCAAAAAGTACAAAGAAAAGAGAAAAATGGGCAAAAAGTATAAAGAATAGAGAATAATGGGCAAAACGTATAAAGAAAAGAGAATAATGGGCAAAACGTATAAAGAATAGAGAAAAATGGGCAAAACGTATAAAGAATAGAGAAAAGAGAATTATGGGCAAAAAGTATAAAGAATACAGGAAAATGGGCAAAAAGTGTAAATAAATGAGAATAATGGGCAAAACGTATAAAGAATAGAGAAAAATGGGCAAAAAGTGTAAATAAATGAGAATAATGGGCAAAACGTATAAAGAATAGAGAAAAATGGGCAAAACGTACACAGGAAAAATTGCAACACATGTTTTTCATATGTTTTCAAAACATATGAAAAACATATGATTTTCATATGTTTTTCATATGTTTGTCCCAAACATATGTTTTGAAACATATGAAAACATATGGAAGCAAACATATGTTTTCATATGTTTTAAAAAATATGTTTACATATGTTTGTAAACATATGAAAAACATATGATTTTCATATGTTTTAAAGGACATTTAAAAAAAAATGTTTTGAGAAAATGTCAAAATTTGTCATTTAATTATCACATACATTTTTTTCATTCATTATCTATATAGTGTATTTCTCAAACAGGAAAGTGCACTTTCTACTCTTCCCACTAAATCCCACATCATCAGGGGCTGACGGGTTGCAGCAGTCCATTCCATTATTCAAAATAAGCTATTTCTTAATGTTTACGTGTATTTTGATATTTAGGTCCTTCGTTACTCCTCTAATATGCGTTGCGGAACATATTGACTATATACCTTTTGTTTCTCTCTTAATAAGCTTCCGAATGAGGTATTAGGTATATCTATAATTAGGGGTTAAAGGGTCGCAGCAGTCCATTCCATTATTCAAAATATCCATTTCATTAATCAAAATTGGCTATTTCTTTATTTTCACGCGTATTTTGGCATTTAGGTCCTCCGTAACCCCTCTAATGGTCATTGCGGCACATATCGTTTATACTCAGTTTATTCCTCTATCAATAAGCTTTAATTTGGTGTATAAATTTTTCCTTGATTAGGGGCTGACGGGCTGCAGCAGTCCATTCCATTATTCAAAATAAGCTATTTCTTAATGTTCACGCGTATTTCGATATTTAGGTCCTTCGTTACTTCGTTACTTCGTTATAAGGTATATCTATAATTAGGGGCTAAAGGGTCACGCGTATTTCGATATTTAGGTCCTTCGTTACTTCGTTACTTCGTTATAAGGTATATCTATAATTAGGGGCTAAAGGGTCGCAGCAGTCCATTCCATTATTCAAAATATCCATTTCATTATTCAAAATTGGCTATTTCTTAATTTTCACGCGTATTTTGGCATTTAGGTCCTCCGTAACCCCTCTAATGGTCATTGCTGAACAATCGACTTGTTATATCTATAATTAGAGGATGAGGAATAGCAAAGGTCCAGTGAAAATAAAAAAAGACTACGTAGAGTATTTTAATTTATAAATATATGTTTTGGTATTCAGGTCGTCCATACATTGAACCAAGGAATTTCTGTTAAAAATAGTTAGGAAAACCCCCTAGTTTATCCTCCGAAACTAGGAACCAGATAAATAAATCAAATTAGAATTTAAAGAGTGTTTTTATTTATTTTTACTGATATCAATTTGAATATTTGTTAGATAACACCAAAAAGACTAATTTAGAAATACGGGATATAGCTAAAATGTCACAGTCAATTTTTTTATTTTTATTTCACTATTCACCGCTTTAACTTGAATAATGAAACATAAACTATTTCATTATTCATTATTCATCACTTGATATTGAATAGTGAATAGTGAACTATTTCATTATTCATTATTTAATTTTGAATAATGAAAAATGAATAATGGACGTACTTCAGCGTGGTTTTTAAATCGTTTAAAAAAGACTTGTCTTTTATCAATGTTTATTTTACATTATAAAAAGAAATGGGATTCATCGTCCAGAACTTAGCACTTGTTACACAGTCTTTGAGGGCGTGGAATATATCTTCCAGTTTCAATAGCGAGGGAATGATCACTAATCCGAAATTTGCAAATAAGTTTTATTGTATCAAGATTAGGCTATGTCAGTTTTTATATGTATAAACAAAAGGAGTTTACAATTTTGATCAAGAGATGATATCTTATCGTCATATATTTCTTTGTATCTTTTTTCAAATTCATTTTTATAGTTATTTCTACTAAGATTCTCACAGGCTCTGTATTTGTTTTTAGATTCATCTTTGAGTTGGCTAA